GAAGGGTGGGATTAGTCTGATATGGTTCAGAATATGTTCTCTCTGTAGTGACACAAGTAAGCAAAAACTATTTTGAGTCTTGAGCCGGGATTTACAGAAGCGATCGTCTGGGGTTGCTATATCTCTTGTGCTGAGTGAACTTGCTTGCAATTCGGTTCTGGACTTGTCACACCCACCTGGGGTTTTTACAGTGGTGACGGAACCCAATTGCAGAGGAACAGCACTCCCTTACAATCACAATCCTCAGGAGCACCTGGAAGTGGGTACAGGGTCCTGACGGGTCTATGATGGCACATAGGCCTTTAATGGGTAGAAGCCAGGCGAGGTATCCAGAAAGAGAAGATGTGGTATGTGTCTATGTGTGTGGCAGCCTCTCGGGTCAGGCAGCAGGCAAGGGTAGTCGATAAGGAGTCCAGCAAGCAGGAACTAGAAAGTCAATCAGGAAAACAGGATAATCAGCTAGGATAAGGGAGCAAGGAAAATAACCAAGCACTGACTGGGGGGCATGCAGGGTTTAAATAGGGAGACACATGACTGGCCACCTCCTCCCAGTACAGAGCAAGCAGGGTCCATAAAATGAGGTAAGGGACTCTGCGTCATTTTGGCTTTCATCACAGTCCCTGACCTGCCTACCCTTATCAGATCCACAACTCCTCCTCCCCCTTGTCCAGAATGCAGAGTCCGCGTGGTGGCCGGCATTTGCTGCAACTGGACTGTCCTTATGTCATATAACTGCCCCCTCCAATTCCAGCATGCCGAGAATGACTTTCTCAAACCAGTCAGATGATACTAAAGCTTTCATCTATATTCCATTCTACACACTACTGCATGCTGGGGTCAAAGTGGTAGAGTAATATATTCCAGTGATGGTAACAAAATGTGGTCCCTATGCAAGAGCTGAGAGCATCCGATGGGTGCTTTTAGGATAAGTGTGCTGTCCTGCATGTTCCTGCTTTGCTGTACAGAGCAGCCACTTCTCCTACTAGAGAAGACCAAATGTGGATGGGGCAACGTGGATGCTAAAATAGAGAATGCAACATACTCTGGGATGGTGCCAGGGTGCTCTTGGCACCATAGACGCTATAAAGTGATGCAGTAGTAATTGTCCATATCAATGAATTTGGGTTATTATTCCTTATCAATAATCCCGATAGCAGACTTCAGTCAGTATGTGCCACGTTTCGGTATGCAATGTCTATCCAGTTAATTATAAAATCAGCGAGGATCAATCTTGGTTTTTATCAGTTACCATATCATAAATCTTATCACTAGACTAGATGTCTGTGTAAACCCATGTACTAATAAAACACCTACAGATGATGGAACTGGATTTCTCAAGTTGTGTCTTGAAATAGTTTAGAGTTCTAGTTCCCATGGTTCCCTAGTCTCAAGCTAGGGGATTCTGAACCGTAAAATGTAACGAGTCGGACAACATCAAGTGTGTGCATATTCTATCAAGTCTTTTTTTCTTTTACATTTTAAATACTGGAGTCTGGATATTGGGTTCTTCAGCCAATTATGTTTACAGTTAGTGGAGGGTGCAAGAGAATATTAATGTTTATTTTTTTTTAATTTTTCTTTTTCTTTCCAGAAGCAGCTGCCTATTTTAAAAATAAAGATCATGAAATAGAGTGCTCCACCAACCTACTTAGTGGGAATGTTGGTGCTACCCCAAGTGGCGTTCAAGAGGGGAGCTAAATAACTGAACTTTACTGCACATCATTCCATAAATTAGGTAGTGGGGCTGAATTGCATTGAATGCCTGTCTGTGGCTTGATTCTGGCTATGCTTTCATTGAGATCAGAGCAGATCAGCAGCAAGTTGTTTATTGGCAGAGAGGAGGGGACGTAACATTTCCCCATCTCCATATTAGTGTAGGGAGTGTCAGGTTTCCCCTTGGATTCAATTGGAGCAATGCCCCGTTTGACTGCATATACTTAAGTTTAGTTAGTTTAAGTACTAACACTAAAGGAACACTGTATCAAAAAAATAAATAGGTCTGGTCCAATTTGTCTTTAGAATGGTGGACCCCTTTAAAGTGGCTCTGTCACTTTTTAGTATTTCATAGATATAATCTTTATGAAATACTAACCCTGACTGAAATTCCAACACAATTCAAAGATTCCAGAAGACAAAGTAGGAAAGATGGAGCACATCTTTCAGCGATGGCCTAAGGTTTCAATGACGAAACTTTGGACTTGACTCCGCCGACATTCTCAGCCTATAACTAACTTTCCATTCACATATGTTAGGAAGATACATTGTTGGGATACAAAATGGGATTTTAATGCATACCACCAAACATTTCCAATGGACAAAGAAGGACAATTTTATTTTAAGCGTGTGAGTAGGCCAAGGGTTGGACAATTCTGAGAAATTTTAGGTGACGTATTAATACAATTTATTCATTTTGATTTCTAAACACATTTATTGTAGTTTAAAGACACATTGCTGTGAGTTTTATTGCTGTGGAGCTCTTTTACACACCAACAATATGGAGCTCCTACAAAAGTGTGACATTAGGATAGATAGGAGAGGCACAAAATAGGGACTGTTCCTCTGAAATAAGGACAGTCGAGAGATATATAATAGCCGAGTCAGTAGTATTGCATGGATACGTTCAGATATCTTTTTAGGGTACAGAGCCTATCTTCTATAAAGGTCCAATGTTAAATTGGGCTAAAACACCTTGTCTAAAATAATGCACTCCTGAGTGAGCCAAATCCTCTTTCACATACTTATTTTTTTCTTACTGTAGTATGTGAGTTATATATGAGTAATGTCTAACAGTCTGTACAACAGTCTGACCCACAAAGCGCTTCTAATCACCAAATATGCAATCTTATTGGTTACAGCTGATGCAAATGTAAACAGAAAATAAGAATTCTGCCTGCAGAGGATAATTCAGTGACAGTTTAAGCATAAAGGTCAGATAAACACTGCTAAAAATCTAGCAATCATTATCTTGACAAGCCTTACAACATATTTATATATACGTAGAGTTCATATAATGTGCATGCACATCCCACGCATTGCTAGAAGTTCCACGCTGAGTTTGCAGACCACATCAGTCCTTAGATAGGATAGCGTGACTCACTCTCACCTATAACCAGTGGTGATGATAAAACATTGTTACATTGTAACTATTGCTGCTCTGTGTGCTACATTTGTAGTGCTTCTGGAATGAATTTTGTTGGCTCGTTTGTAAGAAGGCTTCAAACTTCATTGTGCGGCTTCATTCATAGCGATAACATTAGAGTTATGGACAGGTCCACAGCCAGCCTTAGTCTTTTAGGTACCCAGTACTCATTCACCCATAAATATTAATCATCGTCATTTAATATTGAAGAGGTGATTCAAAAGTGCTTAATTTGTTTTAGAAAAAGCCACAGTTGACAGTCTTGTTAGTTTTTAAGTGTCTATTTGTGAGTGTTTTCCATAAGTGGCATAAAACAGCACATTTATAAATTTCCCTTTTAATATAAAATGTTAATAATAATTAATAATGCATTGGGTAAACATTCTCATACGCACACATACATAAAACACACTCAGACATTTTAACAGACACACTCAGACATTATAAGACACTCAGACATTACAATATAAACACACAGATATTATAAGATAGGCTCAGACTTTATAACAGACGCACTCAGACATTATCATGGACACACTCAGACATTATAACAGACAGGAACAGACATTATACAGACACACTCATACATAGACACAGATAAACATTATACAGACATACTCAGACATTATAAGAGACACACTCAGACATTATACACACTCAGATATTATCATGGACACACTCAGACATTATAACAGACACACTCAGACATTATACACACTCAGACATTATCATGGACACACTCAGACATTATAACAGACACACAGACATTATACAGACACAATCATACATTATAATAGACACACTTAAACATTATACAGACATATTTAGACATTATAACAGACACACTCGGAAAGTATTGTGGACACACTCACACATTACCACAGACACCCTCAGACATTGTTAGTGACACACTCAGACATTATCACAGATGCAGGAAATCATAAATTCAGGAGCGTCTCTGAGAGCAGTTTAAGCAGTAATTTTGCAAGATCAAATGTTAAAATTAGTGTAGGATCCACCTATATTGTTGATGTAGTGGTGTGCTCAAAGGAACTCTTTACTCAAACATGTATTCCTGACCCTATAGTGTTAAAAACATTATCTAGTTAAGATAGGTGATTTTAAGTAGCCTTGTAAAATGTAAAACTGTATATTTTGTGTGTGTGCGCTGTACCCTAATCTGTGTTTAGCCATTATCCCAGATAAATCTGGACACTATTATTGACACATTCAAATTATCACAGACACATTCAGGTATTCTCAAAGATGCACTCGCACATTGTTACAGACACTTTGAGACATAATCACAGACACATTCACAGATTTACTCAGATATTTTTAAAGACATTTAGATATTCATATTTGTACTAATCGACATTATTACTGACATACACGAACAAAGCTCTCCTAGACACAGACAATTTTACATACTCTCTCGGACACTCAAACTTACACATCCTCAGACACATACTCTTAAAAGAGAGATGTAATCAGCAATGCTGGGTATAAAATCTAACCACGATATAGGTTATTGACTAAAGAAAAATTGGTGGTGTACTATAAACTGAATTTGCTAACTTTTAGCTAAAATAGCTGCGCTGAGATTAAAGATGAGGCATTGAACATTTTGCCAGGTCACATTTCACCTCACTGTTTAGTGAATAAACCCCTTAGAGTTCATCTTTTATAGCAGGAATATGCAACGTTCGGCACTCCAGATCACATCTTACAGCATTATGGCTGTAAGGGCATTATGGTAGATGCAGCACACAACCTCTGGATTGCAGAATGTTGCCTACCTCTGTTTTGTCGAGTTCATTTGAGCTTGCTGGACGGCTCCTTTAAGAGCTGTGTCATGTGACAGAGAGGGAGCAGAGGGCAGCTAGCTGGATTCAAAGAAATTAGAAGCTTCGCATAGCAGCGACCAGGCTGCAACTGTATCTAAATCTGTTATTTAAAGCTGCACTCTTTACTTCTCAAATAGTTCAGTAGTTCTCTAACAACAAAAAACTAAAACCTTTAATCTATCTTGGATCCAGGTGTGAAGACATTGAGGTATGGTAGCAGAGGTTTCAGTTATTAGCAGTAAATATTTGCTGTGTTAAAGCTGTACTGTCACTTCCAAGTGATATTGTTTGATATGTTGGGAGTTACGTATTAGAAATGTCTGAAAAAATGTTGCAAACTTAGAACGTCGGGAGTCACCAATGAAATGCGCTTGCTGGTTTCCATGGTAATTGTCCCACTTTTAGTGCTACATTTCAGTCACATTTTATACATGGGCCTCACTGTATTTGCATTGGGAGGGGCGTCTTCATTCTGCTTCCCCTTTGATAGCTATGTAGGAGGTGCAGGAGAAAATGAGACATTATAGTGTTAGGAATAGAGCTTTGTATAAATATATATATACACTGTATGAACGGCTGCACTCATGGTATTTAAGTATATATATATAGTTGTGTGTGTGTGTGTGTGTGTGTATACATATATGTGTACATGTTTATTCATTAATACATATATATTTTACTTTGCCTTGCCCTGTATGCTAAAGCAAGTTTTTTTTTTCTATCCCTACTCAACATTGTTGGCTTGTTAACCTAAATGTTATTCACCTAGATGTTTATCTGTAAAGACTTTCTCTGTTATTTCTGCACCCCCCTTATTTTATTGATACCCACCCTAATGTTTTACTTGACCAATCTCACCTCCTCTTTGCATCTCCATTCCATAGCTTTATTGCAGCTTTTTTTTGACCCAATCTTCTCTGTCTTCCACAGTCAGGGTTAAAAAGACCCCTATTTGAAATCAGAACAGATCTCAATTCCTAAAATCAACTGTAAAGGAGGCGGTGTAGGCATCCTCCTGTCCCCTCAATGTACATTTCAACCTATCCTCCCTGCCTTCTGCCTTTTTCTTTACTTCCTTTGATGTGCACACTGTCCGCCTATTTAAGCCCACTCGTTTAAGAATTGCAATCATCTATCGCTTCCCCGGTCATCCTAGGTTATTCATTGAACACTTTTCTTCCTGGCTACCCCACTTTCTCTCCTCTAGCACTCCTTCCCGTTAACATCCCAATCAACAACCTCAACTGCTCTGATGCCTCCCTTCTGCTCTCTGTAACCTCCTCATTTGGTCTCACACAGTAGTCTACTTCAACAACTCATACAGCAGGAAACACTCTTGACCTCGTCTTTACTAATCTCTGTACCACCTCCAATCCCTCCTATGTTCCATTTCCTTTGTCTGACCACCATCTGCTGACCTTTGACATTGGCATTCCCCATATCCAAATTTCAACACCCTCAACTCACCAATCTCGCAGAAATCTCCAGCAATTCTCCACCAAACTCCAAACTCTCCTTTTACCCATCTCAAATCTCACCTGCCCTAAAACTGTAATCTCATTCTACAAATCCACTCTCTTCTCTCAACTAGACATTGTGGCATCTCCTACACTTAAACGCAGTAAGTGCTCCCATTTAGAACCCTGGCACACCAAGATGACCTGATACCTCCAAAAATGTTCCAGAACTGCTGAACGCTGCTGGAGAAAATATCACTCTGCTTCTGACTTCCTCCACTATAAAGTTATGCTGTGCTCCTACAGTTTTGCTCTTTCCTCTGCAAAAGTTAACTACTTCAACACCCTCATAAGCACACTGTCCCACCAACCCAAATGTCTATTTTACACTATTTCTTTGCCCTGTTGCTCCCCCTCCTCCTACCTCCTTGTCCGCCACAAACTTTGCAACTCACTTCACTGAGACGATTTCTACAATCAGGGAAGGGATCTCCAATTTCTCTCCCTCCCCCACCAATACTTCCTCCCATCCCCACTCCCTCTGCTGTTCTATGCTCATTTGCACCCGCTATAGCGGAAGAGGTTTCTGCTCTGCTCTGGTCCTCCCGCCCCCCCACCTGTTCCATTGATCCAATTTCCTTGTATCTCATCCACACTCTTTCTTCTTCTCTTGCTCTCCCTCTCACTAAAATTTCCTTGACCCTTCAAACATGCAACTGTAACCCCGATTCTGAAAAATCCCAACCTTGAGCCCAACTCCCCATCCAACTACCACCCTATCTCGCTACAGCCGTTTGCTTCCAAGATGCCTGAAGAGAGTTGTGTATGCGAGATTGACAGACTTCCTTGAATCCAACTCTACTTGACCCACTTCAGTCTCAATTCTGCGCTTGTCACTCTGTCGAAACAGCTAGACCAAAGTATCCAACAATTTAATCGCTGCTATGTCTCGCAGCCACGACTCTGTCCTAATTCTTCTTGATCTTTCTGCTGCCTTTGACACTGTTGATCATCAACTGCTTCTTCTCATTCTCTGTAATCTCAGTCTATGGGATACTGCTCTCTCCTGGTGCTCCTCCTCCCTCTACCAGCGCTCTTTCAGTGTTTCATTCTCTGGCTCTACCTTTTATCCCCAATCCCTCTCTGTTGGTATTTCCTAAGGTTCTGTCCTTGATTTCCTACTGTTCTCTATCTATACTGCCTCCCTTGGTGAACTCATAAACTCCTTTGGCTTCCATTATCATTTATATGCGGATGACACGCAAATCTATCTATCTTCTCCTGATCTCTCTGCCCATCTTGACTCGTGTCTCTGACTGCCCCTCCGTGATTTCCAACTGGACGGCTGTTCACTTCCTTAAACTCAACCTGTCCAAAACAGAACTTCTGGTCTTTCCTCCCTCAAGTGCTGCTACTCCTGTGTCTGTCTCCCTCTAAGTCAACTGCGCTACCATCACCTCTACCTCGAAGGCTCACTGCCTGTTCTTTTTTACTCCAACCTCTCCTTCACCCCTCATGTCCAGTCGATCGCCAAATCCTGCTGCTTCCACATCCGCCCCTTTTTATATAGCCCACATCCGCCCCTATTTAACCCCGGATGCGGCTGAGGTGCTGGTCCATGCCATTGTTCTCTCTCATCTTGACTACTGCAATCCTCTTCTTAGTGGTCTTATGTGTTCCCACCTTGCACCGTTGCAATCTATAATGAATGCAGCAAGGACACTCATCTTCCTGTCTGCCTACACCTCCCACACCTCCCCCCTCTGTTACTCCCTACATTGGCTCCCAGTTAGATATAGGGCTCAATTTAAGATTCTGGTGCTTGCTTAAAGTCTCTACATAATGCTGTTCCAACCTACCTATCCCACCTAATACACAAATATGTCCTGTATAGGCCTCTGTGCTTTGCCTAAGACCTACGTCTGTCCTCTCTCCGTACTCCCACCTCTGGCCTTCAAGATGTCTCCAGGGCTGCACCTTTTCTGTGGGACTCCCTTCACTTCTCCGTTAGACAGTCACACAGTCTCCATTCCTTAAAAAAACATTGAAAACTAATTTCTTCAGGAAAGCGTATAAATTAAACTGTTAACAGCTTTTCATCCCCACACCCTTGACTGCAACTGTCAAAAATAACCTACTAAGCCCTCTGTGAATACTTTTCTTGCATTCTACACTGATACGTCTACTTTTACCCTTTGTGTCTCTATACTCCACTCCCTCTAAAATGTAAGCTCATTGAGAAGGGCCCTCAACCCCTCTGTTCCTGTGCATCCAACTTGTCTGGTTACAATTACGTGTCTGTTAGTCCACTGAATGTACAGCACTACGGAACTTGCTGGTGCTATATAAATAATAACATAATAATTGTTACTTTAGCTAGCCATCGGTTAGCAACATTATCTACAAATTATCATGGCATGTCTTTCTATTTTCCTAATATTCTTTAGGACTACAATGTTTTCAATTAATAATGCACTTTCCTTATACAGTTTACAATGTAACATAGGTACACAACGCAATGTCAAATAATGAGGCAAGTTTGAAATTGCTAGTAGTGACTACAGATAAACATTTGATGCTCTAACCTAAAAAGTCCCTATCCCATTTATCTCTGAATCACTATTGCTATATACTACTAGACATCCAATTATCTGTGCATGGCTTAACCAGCTGCTCAATGTGCTGTGTTTGATGTGGGACTATTAAGACTTCGTTACGTATGCCTGACTTAGCATTTATCAGCAGTCGTGTCCTACCACAGGTGTCTCATACATGTTTTGTGGTATGTGTTACTCTTGACCTAAGCACATTTGTGGTTCAATAATATGAAGTTCTTTTCAATGTTGCCACAGAATGATATGAAGAAGGTTCACCAATCCTTGTATGTACGTAGTGGGCATTGGATAGCATTCCCTTCATCCCCCATAAAACCATAACTTACCCCTTCAAATAACGACAGACAACTTCTTGGAGAAAACAGGCCACAGCATTTATTAACACAACCAAATACTGTATGACTCCTTTAACATATAACGAAATAATAAATATCATAAATTAACATAAACAATTTGCATATAGTCATACAGTAACCAAAGAAACCGTCCTTGCCAATCTAACTTCCCCAAGGCTCTCACCTCCCCCCCTCGGCATAATAAAAACATCTTCCTTTTCAGGGCTCCCCACCAACTTGGTGGGGCCCAACCATAATGCTCCCCACTGGTCGACTTACAACCCAGTGGGGACACATCCAACCTGGTACCTTCTCCAGGTTCACCATAAGAGACTGGGGGAGGATGAGACCCGGTCATTATCCCCCTTTTTCATCTAATCTACCAAACCATCCCTTATTTGGCAAGGACACACCCCATCTCGCTGTGACAAACCCCCCGGGCCCAAAGCAGAAAAGGGAGGGTAGGTGGGAAACTTGTTGCTGGCCCGGCTCCTAAGTGGCACTGAGGTCAGTCTGATCTGTCACCACCCACTTCCTCACATCTCACACTCCCACATGTAGCATATAGCCAATCATGCATCATCCATCCCACACTCATACATGTGCCCCTGTCCGCTAAGCTGCACACTCTCCCTGGGGCCTTTACATTCAGCGGGAACAGTGAAAGAAGGGCAGACCAACAGGGCAGAAAAGACTGGGGGGTTTGATGTAATTAAACTGTACTCCACCACTAAGAACATGGTGCTTCTCCTGTGGTCCTGCAATGAGCTGACCAGTTATTCCCAGTTCCTATATATTATCTTCAGTCAGCATTAAAAACTCAAAATGAGTTCCTGCTAATCCATTTAAGGTTTCTTTAAATCATAGTGTCAAGGGGTGTGATTTGGCCACTAAAATCCTGTAGCTCATACCAAATCTAAAACCAAGAACACAAAAATTAAACTCCAGAATGTCCCAAAATCTTCCAAGTGCGATTCATCCACAGCTTGAATATTGCACTCATTTTTGAAAGTTCAGAAAACATTGTGACACAAAATAATTGGGGTGGAACCTGACTAAGGAGATCCTCATCTCTGTTTAGTAGAGTGTATGGTTTGCGCTTTGGAATGGCAGTACCCAGAAAGTGTCTGGGCTACAACTGGGTCAGTTTTTTATGTTGTGCAGCAAGTAGAATAAGCCTGCTGGATTAACAAATGAGAGTGATGCTATACAAAGTCAAATGGAATCTTTCAACTTCAGAAAGCTTCTGTTTATTCTGTAGATGTTTAGACCTAGTTCCATAAGTGTTAAAGATACGACTTGACAGTCACTGGTATGATGTCTTCCTGAGACCGATTGATACTTTCACTGCTGATGTTAACCCCTTAAGGACACAACGTCTGGAATAAAAGGGATATTTCCATCATGTGTCCTTAAGGGGTTAATGTGCTAAAAAAAAGTTACCAAATCTCTGAAACTACTTTTGAAACATTTCTCCCTTTAGAAGACATGAAATATACAAGCACTCGTGGAGAGGTGACTGGGTTAGAATTTGAAGAAGTGCTATTTTCCGGTTTTGCAGCAGATGGGGGACTGTTCATGCCCGAAGAAATTCCTAAATTGGACAACAATATCCTCAAAAAATGGAGTTCCTTTTCCTATAAAGAACTAGTAAAAGAAATCTGCTCCCTGTTCATTCCTGCTGAAGCTATTCCCAGGAAAGATCTGGATGGTAAGTTATAGCAATAAAGATTTTTTTTCTCAAACTACTAAAGAAATAATTTATGGTTTGTTTCATGGCTCCATGTGAAATTGTCTAACACTGGCCCATATTTTCATCATGGACAAGTGCGCCATGGACTTGAATCAATTTATATCTCATAATCATTATTGGACTTATTCTGCAATAATTTTATGTTTTATTCTACACTATTTAACATTCAGAATTAAGTCTCAAACTTGTCAATATACAGCCTGCACCACAAACCTGCGTATACTCAAGTCCCTTACTAATGCTGTGCCCCTCTACCTGTCCTCTCTAATCAGCAAATATACTGTGATGGACTGCGTGGCACCCCAACTGGGTACCTCCATCAAGCTCACTTCCTAGCCATCACCAGGACACCAGTATCTTGGCTGGGGTTTCTCAGTCACTTCAAGCCCTGGAACGGGGTCATAGGTACAGCTTCAAATGATTAAGCTCTCCTGCAGAGAGTATAGCTGATCTACCCAAACACTAGTCCAGACTGAGTGAAGGGTGAAAAGGAACTGGTTTATGGGTCCCTATCTCATAGGGAGTGAATGGGAGTGAATAGTCGCCTCGTTTGCGAGAGTCTTTTCACCGAACAGCGCTCTCCTGCCTTGTCGGGATCAGAAGCAGCCGGCGATACAAAGTTATCTGTATTTGAGTTCCAGTGACTCAACGACTTAGTACCCCGCCTGTGTTCGGGAGACAACCAGTTGTCTCCCGAACACAGGCGGGGTACTAAGTCGTTGAGTCACTGGAACTCAAATACAGATAACTTTGAGTTTGTGGTCATTCTGAAGATAATGAGCTGGGACAGTGTTCGGTAGTTAACGATACCGGACTAAACGGAAAACAACTTGATCTTGGGAAAAATAAAGATGGTTTAGGGCAGTTTGTCACATATACCTCCACAAGATCAGACAATGACATGCTCCTTGTATCTTTTATTATTATCTCTTCCCATTCTAGTCTGCAGAACTTCTTTCATGTGGTACCAACCTTCTGGAACTTTCTGGAGCGCAGTTAGACTTTCTACTAGTCTGACTTTCTTTAAACGCTCACTAAAGACATTATAGTTCAGGGAGATTTACCACTCATTTCCGTTACTAATACATTCTACTTACCCAATAAATGTCCTAATTTTACTCTATATTAACATAATTCTCACCATTGCAGTTCCCACCTCCTGTTCCTAATCCCTCCAATACATCTAGATTGCCACGGAAATAGGACACTCAATCCCTCCTGTATTTGTTTTTCAAATTTTGTATTGTCTCTTACATCTATTGCACCTTTGTCTTTTTACTTGTACCAATTGCACCCATGGAAGGTGCGGCAGAATGTATTATTATAAACAGAGTGTAATAATAATAAATGTGGCTGTGTTAGCTGAAAATTAACACTTTTGTCTGCATTGCTTTATTTTAATTTATTTGTCAAATCAGGCATTGCCTAAGAATCTTAAGCTGCATAAACATGACACATTAGAGGACACAGTTTTCAAAATCAGACTCGTGACCAGTGATACATATCCCAATCTGACAGTGTTTGACTACCGTGGAACAAATGTTGATGAGAAGTTCTAGGGTTGTCTGACTTAGATTGTTGTAAACTGATAATAAATTGGTTCTAAAATGTTCCAGTATATAGGATAACTTTCATGCATTTATGGGATACACTTCTATCTATATCTGCTGTCGATATCATTCTGTGTTTATGTCTTTCTTATACTTAGACTTGATTAATAGAGCCCTGACTCGCTTCAGACACGATGACATTATTCCTCTTCGTAGGCTGGAAAGTGGATTAAATGTTTTGGAGATGTGGCACGGGGCCACGCACGCCTTTAAAGACCTTGCTATGTCCTGCGTGGGACAGTTTTTGGATTTCTTCTTAAAGAAAAGAAAGAAGCACATCAACATCGTGGTTGGTACGTAATTAATCAGATAAACCATTGACATTGATTTTAATGGAATTGTTAGTTGGTCACAGAATCACAGATTACAGAAAAATAAACTGTAAAAATACATATAATAAAGTAATGAAAAAATAACTAAACTGGTTCATGGATTGCAGGATAAAACTTACCAGGAAAGGTTAAAGGATCTTAACATGTATAGCTTGGAGGAAAGACGAGACAGGGGGGATATGATAGAAACATTTAAATATATAAAGGAAATCAACACAGTGAAGGAAGAAACTATATTTAAAAGAAGAAAAACTACCACAACAAGAGGACATAGTCTTAAATTAGAGGGGCAAAGGTTTAAAAATAATATCAGGAAGTATTACTTTATTGAGAGGGTAGTGGATGCATTGGATAGCCTTCCAGCAGAAGTGGTAGAGGTTAACACAGTGAGGGAGTTTAAGCATGCGTGAGATAGGGACTAAGGCCAGGGACTAATTAAAAGTATTTTGAAATATTGTGCAGACTATATGGGCCAAATGGTTCTTATCTGCCATCACATTCTATGTTTCTATATGATGCCCCCGCTTCTCCCCTGCCTACAGTAAGGACAGGACTGGAGACCATTTAGTCATGTTAGTATACCTTTCCAGAAAGATCTAATCATAACATTGCAGTTTAGAGGGATAATTGGTTATATTACTAAAACCTATTGCATCTTTGAAATTTAAATAATTACTGCTCTCACTGAAGTGGAAAAAAAACTTGATAAAAACATACAATTTGGACAGCAGGGACCTAGCTGGGCAAGATGAAAGTTGTAAAACTTTCATCTTACAGCTTTCATATTTATATATCCATGAAAACACTATAAATTACAAACCTCAAGAAAAACTAAATTAAATAAAATATAATAAAAGCACCTGTGTACAATTATATGTGTAAAAATGCATACATATGGCAAATAGAAGTCTTCATATACAGAATATTAATTTGCTTGTAGAGAGATAGAAAAAAAACATAGAGTAGTATATCTTGGGAAAAAACAAATATTATTTAATAAATGCCACATTCACACTTTTTGGAGCCACTGAGAGCTCTAAGAACATTTACGGTATAATCAAGGTCTCGGGATATGGTCCACCACAGGCAATAGATATCTCACATACTAAAGCTCGGTCAAAATATGTATACAATAAAAAATAAAAAAAAGAGAGAGAAAAACCTAAATAGTGCAGTATGTAGTTGGAGTATTCTTTTGTTTTTTTATACCCCATTTATATTTTGACTGAGCTTGAGCATGTGAGATATGTATTGCCTATGGTGGACCATATCCTGAGACAGGGACAAGGATTTTTTGGGAATATTTGTGAAACTTACTGCTGCCTCTTCCTTCTTCTCTTTTTATTATAGTTAACGCCTTGGTTTTTTCCCCATATATTCCTGAAGCTGTAAATATTCAGGACAGTCCCATGTGGGCCCATTAAAGCTACCAATGTCAATGAACAACATGCTGATTTCCTTAAAGACACATTTTTCAAAAAGCACATTTCTTATTTTGACAAACTGATGCACTAAGGGACTTATTTAGCATTCTCTTGTACAATTACAAGAATACAAATCATACAGAATCTGTAAAACAATACATAGTAGTCTCAGATGGTTAATTTATATTTCTTTCTTTTTTAGTCTGCAAAGAAAATCCTCATTTCCGATTCTGCTGTTATTTTGTACTATCGCATGTCTTTGTTGTTTTTTCAACTTCTAGCGACTTCTGGAGACACGGGAAGCTCTTCAATTGAAAGTGTGAGAGGCATAAAGAATATTGATATTGTTGTCTTGTTACCCCACGGACGCTGTACCAAAGTCCAAGAACTGCAGATGACAACAGTGATTGAAGACAATGTCCATGTATTTGCGGGTCTGTGTCATGTGTTTTGTATGCTGCAAATATTTGCTGTAAAACAAACATTCAAAGATTGCATCCATCAAAATGGTTATTGGCCAATTTATTTCTTACTTGAAAACACTAAGCTAGGCAGGCATTCACCTACCGCATACAATATTTATATGAGCCTTAAAACCTTTGTGACCTCAAATTATTCAGAGACTAAAAGCGGACTTCCTTTGTATCACTGTGGAATCACACATAATAAGAGTAAGGGCACATACTGTCAAGTTAGTGCCGCAAGCCCTTGTACTGTGTTAGGATAAGAGAAATAGAACGTCTCAAGTCAAGAGGAGGTCACGAAGAGCATGGATCTGCGTGACAATTAGAACACGAATGTAAAAGGGAGCAGAGTTACGGAAGACTTTGTTAGTGAGCTTATTGATTTAAATTTTATTTTTGGTTGTATGAAGAGTCAAGGGAAGGCTTTGAAGAGCAAATTAGAAGATATTTAGAGAAGCAGTATTAATATGTACTGGAGTTTTGTAGTGTGTAGACATGTGCAATTAAGTTTGTTCCGAATCAAATTTCTTTAGGAATCTGGCAAATGTAACAGTGGCAAAATTTTCGTATTGCCACAACACAAAAACAAATGGATCTGTAACAAATCAAATAGAGTTTTTTCATATCAATTTGTTTTGATGCAGCTGACTGTACCAGTGTGAGGGAACACATTTTACAGTGTCTGTGTGTGTATTAATGTAAGATGAATTACAAATTAATACACGTAATATATTTGTAAAATTCTTCTTACACAAATACACACTAGCACTTTTGAAAATTCATAATTTAGCAAATATACAACTTTTTGCAGTTTGCAAACACATATTTAATAATTACATCACATTAACATTAGTTACCTTACCTTAACTATATTCGTATTACCCTCTTTAGTGGTTTGTAACTATGTGACTGCCATCATTTGAATTTATTCATTTCCCGTACAGAATAACGGGCGTTCAAATTTTTTAAATTAACAAAAACATTTCTGACTTTTGGTTTGTCTGAATTAATTTTTTCCAAGTTTCGGAGGAAAACTATTAAAAAAAAAAAAACCCAAATATTTTCTTTCCCCTGCGCATGTCTAATTAAGGTAAGTTGCAGTAGTCAAGCTGAAAGCTCAAGAGGGAATACATTGCAATTCTTTGAGGTTTCTTGAGTGAATATGACTTGGTTAATTGGAGATATGGTAACATCTTTCACATTAAGAAATTATGTAGCTAACGGTGAAGAATTGAAGGATTAGTTATGATAGTATGGTTTCAGGCAGCAGTAGGACTTTAAATAAGTCATGACAAAGACATTTGGTAACATTACATTTAAGAGGGGATAAAAGAGACAAGAGACAAGAGTCAGGGAAGCATATCATACAAAGTTACTATTTTGGAGAACAAATATGGACACTCCCATAAAATAAACACCAGATTCCAAAATATATTCTCTAAATAGTTTTTAATTATAATATTGTAAGAACATTCAGAATTGCTATTTACTCTAACCTTTAATTACCTCCATAGTTGATGGGACATCAGATGAGCTGGATGTGCCTATCAAGAATCTATTTGCTGATGTTGATTTTGTGAAAAAACATAATTTAATGAGCACAAATTCTGTCAACTGGGCTCGAGTGTTGGTGCAGATCGCTCACTTCTTCTATGCCTACTTTCAAAGTGCTCCAACAACAAACGGCGAAACGCTTCCGGCTGTGGAAATTGTTGTGCCCTCAGGAGGAGCAGGCAACATTACAGGTCTGAAATACAGAATAGAAAGTAGCAAAAAAAAAGAAAAAAAAGAAATTCTGAAATAATTCAGTGGGCTCACAAAACATTGCCACTGTAAAATATTTTTTGCAGATGTATCAGAATAGAATAAAAAAATAACATGCATTCAAATACAAACATATTTACTAAAATAAAACAAATCAAGAACCTACCCCCAAAAAATACATTTCCACAGCAGATTTTAAAAAATAGTCTAAAAAGGAAATTACTTACTTACTTAATAAGATTATCATTAAAGCCGTTTGAGCATTTAAAAAAAAAAAAAGTTTGATTGTAGTTGCAATTACAGAAAGTTACATTTATATTAATGTCCTTTGTGGTCCTTAGCTGGATGTATTGCACAGAAAATGGGGCTCCCAATCCATCTCGTTGCTGCCGTGAACAAAAATGATACAATCCACCGAATTGTCCAGAATGGAGACTTCTCACTGGGGGACACAAGGACAAGTCTAGCATCAGCAATGGATATTCAGGTAAATCAGGATTAGATATTTATGATCTTAAAAATGGATTTTGGAATAGAATTCTGTATAAAGAGTAAATAGCAATCAATATGCTGCCTATATACAAGGAATCAAAACAAAATAAAACAACAACAAAAAACAACTTAAAAAGCATACCGTTCTAATCAGGCTATTTTAAAAAATATATATATTTTTATTCTTTATTTTTCTTGTGCATAGATTGACAACAAGCATGCAGAGCCACAACAGCATCTCCACGCATTTTCATAACATTTCAAAGTTTAAATGGCACATTTTTGTTTTTTATATTACATGAAGATAACAGGCTTGTAGGCATCATTTTTTGGTATGACATGCTAAGCTAGATTTGTGTATAACAAACTGATTGTGCTTAAGATTATTAATGTATTGCACATTTTACAGTACAGCATGAGGCATACGTAAGCATGGAAACAGTGCTAGTAATCAATTATCTATTGTGACACAAGCTTGTGAACTATTACTGTGATATTTACTCATGGGTTAACTGTTGCTAAATCATGCACTTAAGCTGTTGCCCTTGCTAATTTCACTTAATATGCAGGTAGAGTCCTGAGGTCACTTGCTTAAACTATAACTATAAAGGCACCCTGACACCCCCGAGGCAGACTGCCAGATACTTGTACTCCAAGGAGGGGTGTTATGCAGGCTCTGCACCCCCAGTGAGTCCAGAGTTGTTTAGTGCAGTCATCACTGCCTTAGGTCGTAGCTTGGATACTGAAGGCTTAGGGCTCCCTGTGATGTGGAGCTCTTTTCTGCCGCTTTCCTCCAGCTGTTTGGTGCCCTCTCCCTGCGGCCTGGCTAGTGAGTTTCACTGTGTCGTTGTGGAGGCGGTGCAGGCCAGTTCCTCGGGATAGAGCTATGGTGTGCACTCTGTGCAAGTAATCCTGGCAGGCCCGAGGGGTTGTCTGCTGGGTCTGGGGCGATGGGTCTGTGCTTCGCTGGTCAGCAGGTAGCCACTCCCGTCATTTTGCCGTGGTATCGCCTGTCCAGCTTACCGAGGCTGTGGGTCAGTGGGTTCTGAGTTGTGTCATGCAGGCGTGCAGTGCATGCGTGGGATTCAGGAGGGTATCATCCCATCGGAAGCCAGAGGTGCTCGTGCGAGCAAGTAGGGTCGTGGCGCCGCCATTTTAGATGCGGTCTGGGCTGTGTTTTGGCGGCCCATCGGTGTAGCAGGGGCCACAGGGCGTACAGGGTGCAGGCCGGGATCACCCCCACCGGCCCAAAGGAGGGGGGGAACAGGGCCCGGTCCGCCAGCCGAAGAAGCCTGGCTGAATAGCATGGGGCAGGATAGTGGGCGGCAGCCGTCCGCCTCACTCACCACCTGAGTAGGCCTCATCCAAAAGGAGCGATGCATACCCCTCCGGGGGACTAAAACATCAGCTGCAAGCCTCTCCCCGGGTCCAGTGTCTCCATAGGTACCGGCCCACCGCGGTGGGTCAACAAGGTGAGTTCAACAGGTCTATATTTTAAGCTTATTAGTGAAGATTTGCTGGAGCTGTTGTGCCGTGCGACTAGCCAGCTCTGCGGCCAGGCCTCGCCCTAATTAGTCTATGTTTTTATATTATGGTATGGTGATTCCTCGATGTTTCTCCCAACACTTTCCTCCAAAATTAATTTTTTTCAAAAATATGAACCAAACGTGCTGCACTCAGAGGCAATGTGACTTCTATAATATCCCTTAATGTAGAAACCGCCATGTACTAGATCACTGGATTTTCATCTAGCCCAGTAGTGGCAAAGAGATTGAAAGTGGATAAATGTTGTCACTCAACTTCATTCTGGAGGATCCAATGATGGAACCCCACATTTCTTGACAAGTCAACACTGAAACTGGCAGTCTACCTTGTTTCTGGAATGGCAGAAACTCCTAAACACTGCAGGCACTCCTCAGTACCAGTGGCGGATCCAGAGCCTGATCTTGGGAGGGGCACTTGTAGATTATTTAAATAAATAATCTAGACACAATAACCACTACAGCTCAGTGGTTATGGTGTCAATAGTGCCAGGACCCCCTCCCAGAGTAAGTAGTCAAACTGTTTAAGAACAGTTTGACAACTTACCTGAGGTCTGCTGGGAAATGGGGCTGTAGTAGGGCATAGGAGCAGTGGTGTGTGTGAGTGGTGCAATGTGTAAGGGGTGCAGTGTGTGTGTGTGTGTGTGTGTGAGGGGGACAGTGTGTGAGCAGTGTGTGTGTGTGTGAAGGTTGTAGTGTGTGTGAGGGCAGCAGTGTATGTCAGAGATGCAGTGTATGCGTGGACAGTATGTGTGTGTAACAGTTGCAGTGTGTGTGTGAGTATTGTAGTGTATGTGTGAGTGTGGGCAATGTGTGTGTATGGGGAGGCAGTGTATGGGGGCAGTGTGTGTGTATGGGGAGCAGTGTGTGTGTATGGGGGTAGTGTATGTGTGTAGAGTATGTGTGTTTATGGGTGTGCAGTGTGTATGGGTTGCAGTATGTGTATGGGGGCAGTGTGTGTGTGTATGGGGCAGTGTGTGTGCATGGGGAGCAGTATGTAGGGGGGGGCAGTGTATGTTTATGGGGCATTATGTGTATGGGGGTATGGGGGTAGTATGGGGGTGTATGGGGGCATGGGGGCAATGTGTGTGTATGGGGGCATTATGGGGGGCAGTGTGTGTATGGGGGCAGTATGGGGGGCAATGTGTGTATGGGGGGCAATGTGTGTGTATGGGGGCATTTTGGGGGCAACCTGTGTGTATGGGGGCAGTATGTGTGTATGGGGGACAGTATAAGTGTGTGTGGGGGGTATGGGGGGCAGTGTGTGTGTATGGGGGACAGTATGGGGGGCAGTGTGTGTGTATGGGGGGCAGTATGGGGGCAATGTGTGTGTATGGGGGGCAGTATGGGGGGCAGTGTGTGTGTATGGGGTGCAATGTGTGTATGTAGAGTGTGTGTGTGATAAGGGTAGGGGGGCTTTTTTATAATATATATATATTTTTTTTTATTTAATTAAAATAAATATATTGATGTCCCCCCTCCCTTCTTACCTTTACTGGGAGGAGGGGGGACACTTCTTAGTCCCTGGTGGTCCGGTGGGGATTCCCTGGTGGGCTAGAGTTCACTCTCACGAGATTTGGAGCGTTGCCATGGTAACCGCTGCAACGCTCCATGCTCGCGAGAGGAGTACCCGGAGGAGCTGCAGGCTGAGCTCCCGGGTCCTCTCTCCCTCCCTCCCTGCCAACTGCCAGCACTGTGCCTGCGGACTGGGGAGGGAGATCCCTTCCGGTCCGCAGGCACATTGCAGGGCTGGCGCCTGCATTTGCTGGCAGGGGAGAGGGAGACCATCCGTTTTCTCGGGGAAATTTCCCCACTGCCCCCCCCTGGATCCGCCACTGCTCAGTACTGCTAATTATGTTCAACATCTAGATTATAGAAATATAGGCGTTTCTAAATATTTCTACAGGTATTCCTCATCATGTTTATGGAATTGCGACCACCAGTAGAGGCTGCGGACATTTGCTACCTTGTTTATGAAATGGTTACTTGTAGATACCAATATTTGAGTTCTTCATAATTCTCTCAATACTCATTGCTTTTGTAGCTAATAATCCCAACCCTTTTGGATATTTACTTTTTTCTCAGCATTATGGGAATCCTGTATCGCATGAACTGAAGTGCCAATGTTTGCTATCTCTCTTATCGATGTAACGGACAAATATAATTTATAAATCTTTCACCAGCATATGATATCTCTTATTACAAGATAAGGCAAACGGTTTGGGCAGTGTGAATTAAATTTTCCCACATAATATAAATTTATATTCACGTGATGAAGGAAGACAGTAGAATAGCATGCCAAATACAGGTTTTATCGAAATAGTAAAGTACATTTCCAGATTGATTAATTTGGTGGAAATAAAATATGTTAGAAAGAAAAAATAACATTTCAAATTACAACATTTAGGCCAAAATATTTGAATTGGAAACATTTTCAAAGTTAATATTTTGTGGTTCCTGCACAGTAAATGAACTGAATGAAACTGATATCCATAAATTATGTGGGTTACTAAGAGATTAACATCAGGGTCTATTTACTAAGCAATATGCTGTGATGAACTGACAAACAACTTTCAAAATATTAGATATATTTTATATTTGGCACACAAGCTCTTAATGAATGCAAACACCATTTGGAGTTAATTCACTAAACAACAATTTATAGTGAATTAAAAATAAAATTGCAAAATGTGGACTAAAATGCGCAAATTAGGCTATGTACATACCTTGTAACCCATGTAACCACTTTTCACCATCATCAGGTGCTGGGGATATATTTTTTCATTAGGTCCCGTGAGCCAAATCCTCCAGTGCTGATCTGGCTCATTGACAGAGAGCTCAAAGAAATGGGAAGTGAAATTCAATTTTAGACTAAATTAGCTAAACTGAGAAAACTTATCCAGAAGCATAGCTGACAAATAGATTGTTTTTCCAATTTTGGCCTTAATTTAAAATTCATTTACTTTAGTGAACAACCCTGATAATTACATGATTGACTAAAGATAGATGTATCCATGCCGGCCAGTGACATCACCCAATTCACCCAACGAGCCAAGGTAGTGCTCGACACCGGGGTGAAGGGTTGACGAATCGAGAGAAAGAGCTGAGGTGACGAGACCGAACGATGGGCACTCGTCCATAGCTTATTGTGACGAAGTGCCCTTCGCCACTTGGTCCTGGAGAGGCCTACTTGCCAGCCTCCTCCCCTGTGACTATGACTCTTTCATGTATTTGGCTTTAAAGCCCCTAGTCTACCTTCAGACAGACTATTTATGTAGGCTGCTTTATTTATCTTATGTCTTAGTAACCCTGTACCCATTATAGGGGCAGGGTGTGTGTAATGTAATTGTTTATAGTGTGTGTGTACTGTGTAATGTATTGCCTGCTCTCTTGTACTGCTGAGGTTTGCTACCAACTAGGTGGGTTTGGCTATGGAGCTTGTCTAGTGCCCTCTGTTGGTAGCAACAGCAATATGCACTACCTGAATAGCAAGACTGGTTCATTTGCATATTCGGGTAGATTTGCATATTGTTAATTCTGCAGACACGTGAGATATTTTCTGTTAAATATATTGTCTCCCCCACCCCTTTAAAAATGTGCCATTGTGTTGTGATAAGTCACTGTGTGTTGCTTGCTATAAACCATAGCAAGCAACACACAGTGACTGTTTGTGACTTTATTGAGTTTTCACAGCAATGTTAATGTTGTAACCCTATGGGCTGGTCCCAAGGGAAATAAAGGTTTAGACAGTTCTTCTTGATCCCTCTAAACGTAGCCTTGTCTCGTTATTGGAGGGAGCTGTTATAATCACACTGGGGATTGCTATGCTCTGCATGCTCCCCTGAGCTTGAATCATTTAGCTCTTTTAAGAGTTTGTTCCGGACACGCTCTCCTTGGAGGAGGGGTCTTCACCACACAGTCCTGGATGCTGGAGGTTCATACAGGGTGGAAGGAAGAGTTCTTTCCCACACAGTCCTGGAGGACAGAAGCTGATCCAGGGTGGAAGGAAGACGGCGAGACTCCAGTCAAGATACAGCGGTTGCGGAGTCTGCGGTGGTTGTGGTGTCTGCTGCACTGCTTGGAGTCCTCAGGAAGCGCTAGGAACATCCGTCAACGGAGGGTACTCAGTCGGAGTACAAGGAGCTCCGTTACACTTATATTCCCTCAAACAGGTCACTGGACATAACGCCGGGGTAGCTGGAAAACTTGGATACGAAACCGAACGTATAGTCGTCTTAGTCCGTCTGGAGATGTTAAATGTCACTCCATCCAGAGTGAAAGACCTAGCATCATAGTCCAAGGCCCGTACGTCCGAGACTCATTTGCACGAAGTGAGGCAGAACAGGTAAACCAACTTGGCCGACAGCTGTCACAGGGTAAGGTCCAAATTAGGAGACCAGGAAGTAAACAGTGACAAGACACAGGAAACGTCCCATGTAGCCGAATATCGAGGTCTGGGGGGACGCGACAGGCGTGAACCCTGAAGTAAGCGGCACACTAAGGGGTGTTGGCCTGCAGGACAGCCCTCAAAACCTTGGTGAGCTGAAGAGATGGCTGATCTATACAGATTAATCATGCAATATTCCCGACCAGCCTTGAATAATGAAGTGAGGAATTGGAGTATTGCCAAGTCCTGAGTCAGGCACCAGCCAGTCCAAGCTCTCCAAGCGGTCCCATATGATCGTCTAGTTCTGGGAGCCCATGCGTCAGCCAGGAGTCATGGAGTTTCATCCGAAACTCCTTGGGTTTCCCAGGGGCCCCGGAAATCCTCCATGCGAGCAGCAGCAATGAGCCGTCTATCAGGAGGGGGTGTCGGTGGCCCAGCGGGTCCCGCAGAAGATCCTGGTAGGATGGCAGAAGTCTGGGTACGTCTATCGCCAATTCCAGGAGCTGTGGGAACCATGACTGGGTCCCCCAGAATGGGGTCAGCAGGACCAAGTCTGCCATCTGGCGTCGTACTTGGAGTAGAACCCGAGGAATCATAGCAAATGAAGGGAAGGCGTAAAGGGTTGAGTCGTTCCAGTCTTGCAGGAAGGCATCCACTACCTCCGCGGCTAGGTCTGGGCGCCAGCTGTAGAATCGAGGTAGTTGGGCGTTGAGCCGGGAAGCAAAGAGGTCGATGGCAAAAGGTCCACAGAGAGATGAGATAGTGGAGAACACCTCTACATCCCATTTCCAATCGCTGCTGTCCGACAGCTAGCGTGAACTCCAATCCGCATGGGTGTTGTGGAGACCGGGAGGTATTCCGCCTGGACGATAAGATTCCTGGCCAAACAATAGGCCCAGAAGTCCTTTGCCAAGCGGGCCGAGATAGCCGAATGCATGCCGCCCATGTGATTAACATAGCGAACTGTGGAGATGTTGTCCATGCGCAGGCAGATGCACGCACTGGCAGTCCCGTTCGCAAAACTCCGGATCGCAAAGTAGCCAGCCAGGAGTTCCAGGGCATTGATGTGGAGACTGGATTCGTCTTCCAACCAGCGTCCCCCCCGGTAGTCACAGCATTGCACTGGGCACCCCAACCGTGGAGACTTGTGTCCGAATTCACTGTGAATTCCGGTTGGGAACCGAAGATGGCCTTGCCATTCCAAGCGGATAGGTTGTGGATCCACCAGGTCAGCTCGTCTCGGGTGTCCCCATCCAGGGAAACCATGTCTGCATAGGATGCCCCGTTGCGAAGATGTGCGATATTTAGACACTGGAGGGCACGATAATGGAGAGGGGCTGGAAGCACCACCTGGATCAAGGAAGCCAGTAGGCCGATGATCTGTGCCAGATGACGCAGCGACAGCTGGGGGCGCACTAGGGTGCGGCATAATTCCTTGCATATGGATCGGATCTTGGCTGGAGGGAGGCTGAGATACTCCACTTCTGAGACTATCGTGAACCCGAGGAACTCCATGCATCGGGAAGGGGACAGGCAAGATTTTTCCCAATTGAGGAGGAAACCCAGACGAGAGAGGAGATCCATCGTCCCCTGTAGGTATTTCAGGAGGACCAAACGGTGGCATCCATGAGGTGGATGTCGTCCAGGTAGACTATCAGTCGTACTCCTCGACTGCGCAACCAAGCCATGGCAGGGTGCATCAATTTGGTGAAGCACCACGGAGCTGACGAGAGCCCGAAAGGGAGGCATGTGAAGCGCCAAGTGTCACCTTTCCAGAGATTCTTCAGTCACTGGGACCATCAAGTATGCGTCCTTGTAGTCTAATTTTGCCATCCAGTCTCCCTGCAGGAGTAAATCCCGCAGGAGATGAATGCCCTCCATCTTGAAGTGGCGGTAGCACACCAGAGTATTCAGGGCCCGGAGGTTGATAACTGGGCGCATCTGCCCGCCTTTCTTTTCTTCAAGGAAGATGTTGCTGAGAACCCCTGTGGGGGACATTGGAGCCTGTTCTATCGCCCCCTTCTTGTGTAGTGTCGATAGCTCCTTGTCTATTAAGGTGCGGTCTGTCCTTGAAAGTACAATAGGGTGTGGGAGAGGAATGTGACACGGGGTGTCGACCAATTCTATGTGAAACCCCCTCACTGTGGTCAGAACCCAGGCATCTGAGGTGATGTTTGACCAGGTTTGGAAAAAATGACGGAGTCTGCCCCCTACACAGGTATTGGAAAAAACAAGAGGTAGATGTAAGCTTACCGTAAGGGCGTCTGGAACCGGGGTTCCCTCTGAAGCACCATGGTCTTCCACGAGAGGGGAAGAAAGATGATGTCTCATCTCCTGGTAGGATGGTCTCTGGTTGTAGGAGCCTTGTCCCAATCCACGGGCATGGTTATTAGACCGGCTGGACAGACGGTCCCTGAATCTGCCGGCCCTGGTAGAGATCTGTCTCTGAAATACCCTCTTCATAGAGGATTGAGCCTTGTCCAGGGCTGTAAAAGCACCCAGGTCCTTTATAAAGGATTCTCCAAACAACAGGCCCTGGGCGTCTTTGCCTGCCTCTGTGAGAGCGAGGTTAGCGAGTTTAGGCTCAATTTTAAAGAGGATGGCTTTACGCCGCTCTATAGACAGGGAGGTGTTTACACTGCCTGCTCTGCAGATTGCCCTCTGCACTCATGCACGGAGTTCGTCTGGGCCAACCTCACTGTTTCCGGCACTGGCTAGTTCAGCCAGGTCAAACAGTTTGGCCAAATGACCAAAAATGTCCAGGTGTTTGTCCTGGCATGACTTTAAAGCTGAATCCAATCCCTTGTGGGGATTCCATCCCATCTTGGAAAGAAATTGGGTCATTTTGGGATCAACAATTGGGGTCTCACAGACTTTACTGGAATTAAGGGGTCTAGGACATTCTGCCCTGAGTTTGTTGTGTGCTGCCTTGCTAAGGGGGCGCCGTACCCAGTTCTCAAGGTATTTAGTCACATGGTCCTCTGTGAGCCATTCTGCTGACCTCGGGTGATGGAGAGCATCCAGGTCAAACATAGGTTCCCCAGACGGATCCATGAGGGCGGAACCCGTGGTAGCGGGGGAGTCGCTCTGAGAGCCACTCATTACCAACCCTGATAGGGCAGGGGCAAAAGGGTCAGTGTCCTGCCCGCCAATCTCATCATTGGAGTCACATACAGACTCAGCATCAGCCTCCTCACAAGACCCGATTTCTGAGTCGGAGTCACTCTCCTTTTGGGCTCTAGCAAATTTCCACTGCCACGCCTGTTCTGCCTGGCGCGGAAAGGCTCTCTTGCGTGACATAGGCATGCTGTCATGGGTGGATATAGACACACCAGACGTAATGTTTCTGGAGGCATGGGCACGTAAGTGCCTGGATTTGGCTGTAGCCTTTCTTGGAACATCCCCAGGAGGGCTTAAGGCAGGACGTTCTAAGCATGTCGGCGTGGCCGAGTCTTCAGCAGCCAAAGGGCATGCCAGTAAGGCTTGGGAAATAGTCTGGGAAAGGACAGAGGACATTGAGCCCATGGCGGCCATAATGGAGTCCGTAATGGAGCGCAGCAGTGCCAGGGATTGGGTATCCTCAGGTACAGACATAGGGTCACATGCAGAGAAAGGGGGACCAGAGCTGTCAGAGGGGTTTTCCAAAACATGGGGTATACCTATTTCCCCAGGGGGAAGGGGTGTGGCAGGCACTTTGGATTTGGGCATAATAAAATTGGTGTGAGATATCCCAAAATACCAAATATAAAATAGTAATATATGCTGCAGGGAATTGAAAGCTAAAAACTAAAATAACAGAGATAGAACAGGCTAGCAGGAGTTAATCACCCCAGACTAGCTATACCTTATAGAGGGTAAAGTTAGGGAGCTCACCAGGGCCCAGACCGGCAGACAGGAAGAGGACACGAGGAATAGCAAAGAGACTGTAAGACAGGATGTTAGAAAATGGCCGCTGGCAATCTCGCGAGATTTGCAGCAAAATTCTAATAATTCGTCAAATAAAGAGCCGAACGTTCGGCAAAAAGAGACAAATTTGTGAAAATAAATAGACAAAAGTAATAGGAGGGAAAACAGACGAATTAGCTGGCCGTTCGTATAAAAATTAGCCAAACGCGGCAAAGAGGCGAACAAGGCTGTATGCCAAAGAAACATAGAACTGTAAGGTTTTATGAAGAATTTAGCCGAACGGCATGATTCACTCATGAAAAAACAGCCTAATGGAATGGAGAAAAACAGGCGCAAAGGGCGCCAAAAAAGACCGGAGAAGGAGCAATGGAGTCACAGACAGCCAGAAAGAGAATAAGGCAAACGGAGAAAGATAAGAGCAACAGGGGAAGCTCAAGAGATAGTGATACAGATAATAATACCCTAAAGAGGTCTGGAACCCTGGGCTAAAAGGATAACCAGGGCCGGACTGGCCCACCGGGATACCGGGAAATTTCCCGGTGGGCCGTCGGGTCTGCTGGCGGCCGCTGGGGGAGGTCTGCTGGTGGCCACTGGGGGAGGTCTGCTGGCGGCCACTGGGGGAGCTGCGCTGTCTCTGCTCCCCAGCGTGCAGCTTAATGAGACCGGGGCCGGAATATGACGTCATATTCCCAGCCCCGGTCTCATTCAGCAGTGCGCAAAGGCGGAAGAGCAGAGCCAGCGCAGCTCCCCCAGCGGCTGCCAGCAGACCTCCCCAGCAGCCGCCAGCACAGGTGCCCCAGCAGCCGCCAGCAATGCACGACCCCCTGGCAGGTAGTAGTAATGTGTGTCAGTGTGAGTTTGTCTGTCTGTTATGGTGTGTCTGTCTGTTATGGTGTGTGTGTCTGTCTGTTATGGTGTGTGTGTCTGTCTGTGTCATGGTGTGTGTGTCTGTCTGTGTCATGGTGTCTGTCTGTATGGTGTGTCTGTCTGTCTGTGTCATGGTGTGTGTGTGTGTGTCTGTGTCATGGTGTCTGTCTGTATGGTGTGTGTGTGTGTGTGTGTCTGTCTGTGTCATGGTGTCTGTCTGTATGGTGAGTATGTGTCTGTCTGTCTGTGCATGGTGTCTGTCTGTATGGTGTGTGTGTGTGTCTGGCATGGTGTGTGTGTGTGTGTGTGTCTGTGTCATGGTGTCTGTATGGTGTGTGTGTGTGTGTCTGTCATGGGGTGTGTGTGTGTCTGTCTGTGTCATGGTGTGTGTCTGTCTATATGGTGTGTGTGTCTGTCTGTCTGTGTCATGGTGTGTCTGTCTGTCTGTGTCATGGTGTGTCTGTCTGTCTGTATGGTGTGTGTGTGTGTCTGTCTGTCTGTGTCATGGTGTCTGTCTGTATGGAGTGTGTGTCTGTCTGTGTCATGGTGTCTGTCTGTATGGTGTGTGTGTGTGTGTCTGTGTCATGGTGTGTGTGTGTGTGTCTGTCTGTCCGTCATGGTGTGTGTGTCATGATATATGTGTGTGTGTCTGTCTGTGTCATGGTGTTTGTATGGGTCTGTCTGTGTCATGGTCTGTCTATGTCATGGTTTGTCATGGTGTGTGTGTCTGTCATGGGGTGTGTATCTGTCATGGTATATGTGTGTTTCTGTGTCTGTCATGGTGTATATGTGTGTTTAAAAATAGTGTTTTTGCTCACCTTTTTTTCCCCACGCAGCGTGCTGGTCTCCCCTCGACTGGCTCTGCCTCTATGGCTGAGATTATCAAGCTTGATGATCTCAGCCAATCCAATTCTTTGCCATTGGATTGGCTGCAAAACGCTACACCAATCAGCATCTCCTCATAGAGATGCATTGAATCAATGTATCTCTGTGGGGAATGTTCAGCACCTACAGAGTGTGGAGGCCCTGAATTCAGGTGCACTGACACGGGAAGCACCTCTAGTGACCGTCTGAGTGACTGTCACTAGCGGTGTCACTTTGAAGCAATGTAAACACTGCCTTTTCTCTGAAAAGTCAGTGTTTACGTTGAAAAGCCTGTAGGGACATGCTATAGACACCAGTACCACTACATTAAACTGTGTGTGCGTCTGCTGGTAGTGAGTGAGCTTGCTTGCATGTGTGTGCCTGCTAGTGAGTGAGCTTGTGTTTTTATGTCAATAAGCTGATGTATATCAGTGAGATTGTTTGTCTATGAGGCTGTGTATCAGTGAGCTTGTGTGTGTCATTGAGATGTCAGTGAGATTGTTTGTGTCTGCATGTGAGTATGCTTAATGTATAAGTAATCGTTTTGCTCTGAAAGGACCCATATTTTATATTAGAAAAAGCAATATATATATATATGTGAGCGTAAAAGTGGAATTGGGGTTGATGGAAGATACATCAGGCCTGATTTGCTAAACAGCAACCTGAGAATTTTCAGTTAAATGCCCCAGGGAGAGATGTTAAAGTTTGCAATCTACATAGCTGATGTTCTGCAAAACATGGTATGGGTCCCTGGGGCGGAGTATTTGGAGAGCAGGGTGGGCCAATGCTCCAACAGCACTAGTCGCTGTGTAACAGACCACAATTGGGATCTGACTTAAGAGTTAACTAATTGGCACTCACCTGTAGCCAGTCAATTAGCAGACAGGCCTTTAAAAGAAGAGATCAGCCTGCTGCAGAGTGAGTGAAGAACACTTGTGTTTATTGCAAAGGCATTTCTTTTTTTGGGAAAATTGGTAAGTGGGAAAGCCACCCAATTGCAGATAGCAATTACTGTCTAGTAAGAGCTCAAGTAAGAGCAAGGGATTTTGTTTGTTATTATTTAAAGCACCTGCTTTTTATCAAATAAAAAGGAAAACTGAGCTGAATGTGTCCTGGACTTTGTATAGCCTAGAAGGCTGTGGTTACTGCAAGATCTGTGACAATCCTACTGGTAAAAGAGGTGGTTTGTTACAATATATATATATATGTGTGTGTGTATATATATTACTCTATCATCTGTCATGGCAAGACATAGCCATACATATTACACACGACAATATATGGTGCAGTGATTTATGGGGCTGGCATAAAAATGTTTTCCAGGGCTGCTTTGTATCCCCAGTCTGGCCCTGAGGATAACACACAATATAAAATCCACAAGAGGATAAAAGCATAGAAACATAAAATATATGGAAAATAAATAAGTAAATAATGAAACTACAAGCAATAAAGTAAACAAAAAGGTATAAGAAACAAAAAAATTAATGCAAATAGTATTCATAACCATAAGGCAATGATAATATGGAAGAAATTAGTCATGTACTTATCTGTTTGGAAGCAGCAAAGAAAGAGGATTGTGTGGGGAGGTGCTGACTATTATACTGGGACTTGGTATGGGAGTGGTCTATGGTTACCATTTTTTCTTACTGTATGTATTCTTTGCTGCTATTATTCCAGTTTAGTACATATATCTGTATTCATAGATGAGTTGTGACACGATTGTCCTTAGTTCAGGAAGATCATGTAAGCAGTGTCTCTATAATTAAAGGACCACTATAGTGCCAGGAAAACAAACTCGTTTATAGTCCTTAGGTCCCCCCCGCCCTCAGGGCCCCCCTTCCGCTGGGCTGAAGGGGTTAAAACCGAAAGTTTCAGTTCTCTGAAACTGCTAGGTTTACAGCTGCAGGGTTAAAACCTGGGAGACCTGACACCCGGACCACCTTATTAAGCTGAAGTGGTCTGGGTGCCTATAGTGGTCCTTTAATTATACCCATCTGTTCAGAATCACATATATGTAGGTACTATGATATAAGGTAGGAAATCTTTAAAAGTACTGTATTATTTCTCTGTGTTTATGGCCATTTCAGTGGCTGCTGAAATCTGACATTCTATAAATCTTTAATGCCAGGAACCCTATAATATGGAACGGATATTCTGGCTACTTGCCGAATCAGAGAGGAACAATATCAAGCTCATGATGGAAGAATACAATGACAAAAAACAGGTCAAGTTACCACAGGAACTTCACAGAAAGGTTTGGAGTTTTAAATAGTCTACAGCTAAATAATATATTTGAAGTGGCATTAACATCTATTTTATTTTTATTTCTACTTCATTAATAGTTTATATTTTACTATACCATGACCACAGTGATCACATTTGACAACTGATCAAGCTGTGTGTGTGAGCTGCATGCATCATTGTATAACCTTGCCAATCAGCAGTGGTAAAAAAAAGATTTACCTAAATTATCATATTAAGCACCATAACCACTACAGTGCTCTAAACACCAGAATACCTTATTTTTAATAAAGCAGTTTTGGTGTGTAGATCATGCTCCTGCAGTCTCACTTCTCAATTCTCTGCCATTTAGGAATTAACCCCTTCAGGACCGTCATTGGCATTTTTGCGTTGCCGACCGGTGACGGTACTGAACCGTCCTAACGGTCCAATGTACTTACCCGATCGCCGTCGTTCCCCCGGCAGCGATCGGCGTTACTCCCGGAGTGGGGAGACTGCCTGCAGCCCAGACAGTCTCCCCACGGCGGATTAGGACCCCTGGGTCCAACAGAGCGATCACATGGTCACAATAGGCGTCCATGTGTCTGCCTGCAGCGGGACTGCCTGTGCTGACAGGCAGTCTCCCTGCTAGTGTAAAATAAAAAAAAAAATTTAAGTTAAAGTTAATAAAAAAAATAAAAAAAATTATATATGTATGTCTTTATATCATTTATATAATGTCATACTAAGTGTATTTTTATATTAATATGTACTTATATTAATATAAAAATACACTTATAATTAAATTACACACGTGTGTATATGTATATAAATAATATATATATAATAACTATATTTTTACATTGAAAAAGGCCAGGTTGGTTACGTTGCCTTTGAGAGCGTATGTCAGCCCAGGAATGAGAATTACCCCCATGATGGCATACCATTTGCAAAACAAGACAACCCAAAGTATTGCAAATTGGGTATGTCCAGTCTTTTTTAGTAGCCACTTAGTCACAAACACTGGCCAAAATTAGCATTCAATTTAGTTTTTTACTTTTTTCACACAAAAACAAATATGAATGCTAACTTTGGTCAGTGTTTTCGACTAAGTGGCTACTAAAAAAGACTGGACATACCCCATATTGAATACCCTGGGTTGTCTACTTTAAAAAAAATATGTACATGTGGGGTGTTATTCAGAGATTTATAACAGATAATAATGTTACAATGTCACTATTGATAAATTTTAAAAATGTATGTTTTGAAAACGCAATATCCTACTTGTACCTATATCCCTATAACTTGCAAAAAAAGCATGTAAACACTGGGTATTTTTAAACTCAGGACAAAATTTTGAATCTATTTAGCAGTTTTTTTAATTCGCTTTTGTAGACGAGTAAAAGATTTTTCAAGTAAAAGTAAAAAAAGTATTTTTTTTCAATTTTTCATCATATTTTTATTTATTTTTTAAATTAAATTACATGAGATTATATAAATAATGGTATGTAAAGAAAATCCCTTTTGTCCTGAAAAAAATAAATATAATTTGTATGGGAACAGTAAATGAGAGAGCGGAAAATTACAGCTAAACACAAAGACCACAAAAGTGTAAAAAGAGGCCTGGTCGCAAATGTAGAAAATCGCAAAAAAGTCCAGTCCTTAAGGGGCTAAATACTTTTTTTTATTTCTGTTTATACAGCCCAGGCCACACCTCCCCTAGCTGTGACTGACACAGTCTGTATGATAAATTTTTTTTAATTTTCAATCATAGCTTACATCACAGTGTGTTTACTTCAAACGGTCTTTTCTCTTTTTCATAAGTATACTGAACTTTAGTCATACACAACAGGCTGTTGTGGGCTCTAGCAGACAACCGGCATAGCAGGAGATAAGACATTTTATATTGAATACACTGTACAAAAGTGGAAACTAAGAAAAAATTGCTAATTTTAAGGAAGTGTATGGGGAGGCAGTGTGAGCCACAACCTTGGGAGGTGTGGCTAGGGCTGAATAAACAGAGTGATGTAATCTCAGAGACTTGACTGAGGGAGACTGGTGGTGCTATAAACCAAAACTGCATCATTAAACTATTGTTATTTTTGGTGTTTAGAGTGTCCCTGTAAACAGATAATAAAGTGATATTAAAGAGATTATGATGGGTATGGTTGAAGGAGCCGTAACAGGTGATGTAGACAGCTTTAGGACTAATACTGATAAATAGAGCAGAATCATTTTTGCTAACGTGTTTTTTGAACAATTATTTTATACTCTGTTTATCTAGGTTTCAGGAGCAATGACATCCTGTTCTGTTACTGATGAAAATATTCTTGCTGCCATCAGACGATGCTGGGAGGAGAATAAGTATATTTTATGTCCTCATTCAGCAGTGGCAGTATTTTATCATTACCAACAGTTCAATGCTGAGCAGAGCAGGTAGGTCATTCTTGGTAAGCTTGACTTTTAAACTAAAGAGTGGGTTGTATTCTGTATTAAAATGGCAACTTTATTGATTCAAGAATATTAGGAAAAAGTCTCCAAAATGAACAGTTTCTGCAAAAGTGAATTGTCATGTGATGGAGTACCATGAAAGTCCAAAACCCTGGTCCAATAATGCTATGATATTACTACGGACAGCAGCTGCCAATGAAATGTGCTCAAATGAATGTGCTAATTAAAGGAACACTATAGGGTCAGGAACACAAACATGTATTTCTGACCCCTATAGTGTAAAAACCACCATTTAGGTAACTTGCCCCTTTTGCCCCCTTAAAAGGTAACAAAACGTACCTTATTTCCAGCGCCGCACGGGTCCGCTGGCACTGGCCCTGCCTGAAGTTCCGCCTCTTTGCGGACATAATCAGAATTTATGATTTCAGCCAATCCAATGCCTTCCCAAAGGGAAAAGTATTGGATTGGCTGAAATCGGCAAGTAGGCGAGATGGGGGTGGGGCCAAACACTGGTTTGGCCAATCAGCACCTCCTCATAGAGATACATTGAAACAATGCATCTCTATGAGGAAAGTTCAGCGTGTCTATGCAGAAGGTGGAGACACTGAATGGCAGTCACACTGTGCAGCATTGCCCCAGGAAGCATTTCCAGTGGCTATCTGAGGAGTTGCCACTGGAGGTGTCCCTAAGGAGCAATGTAAACACTGTATTTTCTCTGTATTTGCACAAAAATGCATGCAGGGAATGATTATACTCACCAGAACAAATACAAATTAAAAAATGCTTAAATAAGCACTCCAACCACCTAAAGCATTTAGCTTGCTGATAAGCTTTATGTATGAAGAGTGCGTCCTCTTTTTCATTTTACAAAAAGTGGAGATTTCAATAGAATTTAGCACTCTCACAATGGCCCAAATGTTTCAATCAGATAACCAATTCTGTTACTTCCTGGTTTGGTTAGCTCAGTAGGACTAAATTCAAGAGGCAGACAATTGCCCAGAGCACCTGCGTTGCAAATACTTCTCATTGAGCTGCATTGGAATTCTGTGATTGGACAGCCACAGAAAGTCTGGGCGGGGTTAGAAGGGGAGGACTGCAGACAAGAGATCAGCTTCTATTGCAAGCAGTATCTCCGATGGGAAAATATACAGAATTAAAAGCATGCATGCATTCATTGGGTTGAATTACAAATCAGTGATTTTTTTATTTGCATTTTTTTTATTTAGACAGTGGAGTATATCTATAAGCTAGACAAATGTCAATTGAAGATTATGCTAGCGCAGTGTACTGATAATCTTAATTTTAATAATGACAGGAGGCGAATATTTGCATTAACTTTCTTTACTAGCTCCATAGCAGCAAAGAAAAAAAACTCTTAAAGAAAAGAACCAATCAGAATGAAACAGAGGATATATAAACCCATACATATCCCATCATTCCCTCTTGAGTAATGCGACATCACAAGTCCCAAAGAAATATGACAAACGTGTCAAATCCAACTTGCTCCAGCTTGACGTAGTTATTTCATTGTTGAGAATGAGAAGGATTTTCAGTCACTCCGTCCTCCATGAAGCTTGTTAAACTGAAAGGAAAGAGAGACTAGTATCAGTGATACGGAATTAACCGTAGACCCCAAATATCTGATTAGAAGTGTAAATTCTCCGTCATTCCAATACGTCTCATCCTACAATACCCGTGATCTAATTGAACTACAATATCTAGATAACCACACTCTCTATTCTACAGCCCTTGAAACCCAAATGCAACAACGGTTACCATTATCCCTATGGATCATAACTTACCTCGTCGTTTGGGTGGGAACATCAAGAGAAAGGGTGGGAAAATATTCGCCTCCTGTCATTATTAAAATTAAGATTATCAGTACACTGCGCTAGCATAATCTTCAATTTTATAACATGACAGGAGGCTTCATATTTGCATTTTTAAAGCTTAGGCAGAAGGGAGAATGCGGCATTAGTCGACTGTCGGAAGTAAAAGGTCCGGAATGTCGTTTCGCGTGACCAGTCCGCTGCTTGGAGAATATCCGCCAACGATGCCCCTGCCAAAAAAGCTGAAGACGCCGCCGCACCTCGTACGGAGTGCGCTCCGAAGGACGATTCCACCCCCGCCAGGGTGAGGATCCATCTAATCCATCTGGATAGTGTGGTGGTCGACACTGGACCATGAGGTTTCACATATGATATCAGTAGTTGTCGGGAGTTTGGTCGTCGTAGCGACCCCGTTGTCTCTATATATGTTCTCAATGCCCTAACCACACATAGTTGGGGTTCCGATGTAAAGAACGGGTAAAATACCGACTTCGAATCGGTCTTGGTTCTCCGGGAGAGTTGGAATGTAACCCCATCTGGGCCAATAGAAAAGGCATCAGCATCAAACGCCCGTATATCTGAGACACGGCGAAATGAAACCAGGCTCAGGAGGAAGGTGAATTTCGCCGTCAGCTGTTTCAAGGATAAGTGTTCATTTGAAGGCCATTCCTTCAGGAACCGGAGCACCACCTCCACATCCCAGAGATGGTGATATTTTGGTGTCGGAGGGCGTCTCATTTTAATCCCCCGTAACAGACGACAAACCAAAGGGTCTTGTCCGATTGCTCTCCCCTGTGACGGAACGTGAGCTGCAGATATGGCTGACCGGAGGACGTTGATGGTGCGATACGATTTACCTTCTGCGAAGATGGATGAGAGAAAATTCAATATCTCGGGTACAGGAGCCGTAAAGGGATCCAAACTCCGTCCCACGCACCAATTGGACCAAGTTCTCCATGCCGATAGGTAGTTTCTCCTAGTTCCCGGGGCCCATGAATCCCACAGTAGGTCCCTAGCTGCCGCCGATAATCCGTGGGTGTCCCATGCGCCCCTGAAAGCGTCCAGGCTACCAGCTGTAGGTGATCGTCCAGAAGCATGGGGTGTGGGTTGCCCAGTGGATCCTTGAGCAGGTATGGATCGTTCGGTAGGAGGAGTGGGTCGTTGCACGATAATTCGAGTAGGTCGGGGAACCAGGGCTGGCTCTGCCATAATGGCGTCAATAGTGTTAGCATCACTCCCCGTTGTCGAACGTGATGAAGTACTCTCGCAATCAGTGCGAATGGAGGGAAGGCATACGCCCCTTGACTTGGCCAGTGTTGAGTGAATGCGTCCACCGCTATGCACTCCGGGTCCGGGAGCCAGCTGTAAAATCTCGGTAGTTGACGGTTGCTGCGTGACGCAAAGAGGTCGAGGGTGAATGGTCCCCTCTGTTCGTTCAGTTGTGCGAATATCTTGGGGTTCAATCGCCAGTCGCTGGCGTCTCTCCAATGTCGTGAGTACCAATCCGCGGTCAAATTCGATTCCCCTGGTAGGTGCTCGGCCTTGATCGAGATGTTGCGTGGGAGGCAGTAGTCGAAGATCTCCTTCGTCAGGTTGGCTAATGTTTGTGAGCGAGTCCCTCCTAGATGGTTGATGTAGCGTACTGCGGAAAAGTTGTCCATCCGCAAGAGGATACGGCAGTTGGATTGTCCTTTTGTCAGGCTGCGAATGGCGAAGGATCCAGCTAACTCCAAACCGTTGATGTGCATGGTGAGTTCCTGGTTCGTCCAGATCCCGCCTGTGGACGTAGATCCATCCGTGGCGCCCCATCCCCATCGGCTCGCATCGGATTCCAGAATGAAGTCCGGGTGGCTGCCAAAAATGGCTCGACCATTCCATGCCTGCATGCAGTTGAGCCACCATTCGAGTTCCTGGCGGACCTCGTCCGTCAGGGGAACCGGCTGGTTGTATGTGGGGTTCTGCCTGAGGAAGCGGGCTTTCAACCGTTGCATGGCCCGATAATGTAGTGGTCCTGGAAAGATGGCCTGGATGGAGGAGGATAGCAGACCCACAATCCGTGCTAGCTGGCGGAGGGGAATGGACTCGAGTTTGAGGACGTTGCGTATCTCTTTTCTGATGGCCGTTACTTTGGTCCTCGGCAAATGCAGAGTGCAGGATCTGGAGTCTATGTCGAAGCCCAGGAATTGAACCGTGCGTTTGGGAGTCAGTGCAGATTTCTCTCTGTTGACAATAAATCCCAGCGATTCTATCAATTGGATCGTGTATTCGGTGTGACGTGACGCTTTGTCGCTCGTGTTGCAGAAGATGAGTATATCGTCCAAATAGATGATACATCTGATGCCTCGAGCCCTGAGGTGAGCTACCACTGGTTTCAGCATTTTCGTGAAGCACCAGGGGGCTGAGCTGAGGCCGAAAGGGAGGCAGGTGAATTGCCACGGGGATCCGTGCCAGAGGAAACGAAGTAGTGGCCGGCTGTCTATGTGAATAGGAATCGATAGGTATGCGTCTTTGAGGTCCAGACGCGTAAACCAGTCCCTTTCTTGTAGCAAGTCCCTTAGAAGGTGAATGCCTTCCATCTTGAAATGGCGGTAGACCACGTGGGCATTCAGGTCTCGTAAATTGATCACCGGTCGGAAGTCTCCGGTCTTTTTTCGCACGAGGAACATGTTGCTGAAATAACCCCCCGGGGAATGTGCGGGTTGTATCGCCCCCTTCCTGAGGAGTTCGTCCAGTTCCAACTCGATGAGTTGGGAGTCCGTGGTGGTGAGGCATAGGGGCCGTGGAGGCCCGTGTTGCACGGGGCGCGACTGCAGTTCGATGCGATAGCCCCCGACCGTTTGCAACACCCATGCGTCCGTGGTGAGACCTGCCCAATTCTGGGAAAAAAGAGAAACACGGCCGGCAGTCATGGTTATTAAAGACATAGGTGTATTTGGTTTCCTTACCTGTGGGAAATCGTGCGCGGGTACATCCGCGGGCTCCCCGGCCTCTATCTGTTCCCCTTTGGAAGTGGGAGTAAGACTGCCTCGTTCCGGAATCCGGGTAGGACAGTTGAGGTTAAAACTGTTGCGGAGGTCCAGTGCGGGGGCCCGATGGCCAGAAGCGGCTGGTGGCACGGCCCCGCTGCCGACCAGCCCTTGAAAAAACACCCCTGGAGGGGTTGCCCCTGAAGACCTTTCTCATAGAGGTACGAGCCTTGTTTAGGGACGTGAACACGTTCACGTGTTTATTGAGCTCCTTCATAAACGCCTCTCCGAAAAGTTTGCCCTGTGCCAGGGGGCCTAATTCTTTTATCCCAAGGTCGGCCAGCTTCGGGTCAATTCGAAACAGTGCTGCGCGGCGCCGTTCTGTTGAAAGGGCCGCATTCGTATTCCCCAGGAAGCAGAAGCCCCGCTGGGTCCACTCTCTAATATCATGCGCCCAGGTGCGCACCATGTCCGCGGTAAACGAGTCCGCTCTGGTATAGGCGTCATCACCAGCGGCCCCATCGCATCTAGGAGCTTGTCTTGTGCCCCTTTAAAGCTCCGTTCGATCCCCCTGCGTGGATCGCGACCACCCCGTTCCATAAACGTCAGCATTAGCTGGTCAAACTCTGGCGTAAACGCCACTTTGTCTGGCAGGGAAGGTCTAGGGCACTCAGCCCGCATCCTCTTGCGGACGTGCTTCTCGAGCGGTTTCCGAATCCAGAAGTGCATGAACTTCACCAGGTGGTCGGGTGGAGCCCACTCCCCGCAGCGGGGGTGGCGGATGTTCCTGGGATCGAACATGCGTTGTCCCGTAGTATCCAGGAATGTCTCTTGCTCCTGGCTAGCAGATGTCGTGGAAGACTCTGCCAATCCTGTCTTCTGGGGCTCACCCAGGAATGTTTCTGTGACATAGGCGTTGGATCCCCAATCGCCGTCGTCCGAATCCGACGCCTCTGCCTGCCACTCATCCAGGACGGACAGGGTATGGGGCATCTCACCTTCCTCCTCCGAGGAGGCGTCGGGAAATGTTGTAGGCACGGGTGTTATCGGTGCATGGCGCTTGAGAGGCGCCTTGCCCTTTTTTGGGGCTTTCCGAGACCCTTCGCCCTTCCAGTGGCGTTTCGTCGGGCGGTGCCTCTCTGGGGAGGAGTCATCGGAGTCACCGGACTCGTCCCTGGGGCGACTAGACTTGCCAGGCGGCTTGAGGGTGTCAGAGGCCGTCGGGAGTACCAGTGCCATGGCCTTTTCCAGTGATGCGGCTACCGCCGCATTAATCATGGCTTGCATCTGGTCCGCGGAAATCTGTGTCTCCTTTTCCATGTTATGAATTAGCTGGCCGGCACAGGGCGGAGAGGTATGGGGACGGTATGGGAGGGTATGAATAAGAGGCCGGCGGCCGGTTAGGGTATAACGCTTAGTAGCGTGAAAGTCGGACTCGCACTGGGGCTCACCCAGCAAAGAGGGAAGTTGCTTTAACAAATTCCCGTAAGCAGCACTGATGTGGGGGCTCACCCCGTGCCAGGTTACTAGTACAAAACTGACTGGCAAATCCACTCCCAAAGGGTTAACAAACCCAAAATATACAGGTCCCCTTTAAGGCTCTAACAGTAAAACTCACTTTTGCAGCAGATTTAGCAGGCAAACCCAGGAGCTCTCCAGAACACAGGCTCATTCCACAGCAACACAGCACCCACAAAATGGCCCCCGTGATTCTCGCGATGTCTGGCCCTTTAAAAGCCCGGGAAAATTGTGCAGGGCTAAATGGAGGCAAAAGTGCGTTCGGCAAGTTTATTCGAATAAACTGCCGAATGCAGGTATGTGCACATACACCTCCGTTCGCGCTGAAATGCGAACGGAGGAGTCCACAATGGGAAGAAGGCTTCCGTTCGCGCTTTGTGTTAAAGCGCGAACGGAGGCAGCACTGGGTGAAACAAAACCTCCGTTCGCGCTATGTATTGCGCGAACGGAGAGGAGTCAGTAAGGAGAGGGAGAAGGCAGCCCTGGACCTCCCTCGAGCCCTGACTGACAGCAGGGCGGGAAGTACAACCTCCATTCGCGCTAAGTAGTGCGCGAACGGAGAAGAGGCAGCACTGGGAGGGCGGCTGTATAGAGGCAGCCCTCCGTGTGTATGCTGCCTCAGCCTGCCCGGCTCCGTGCACACAGCAGTGTGAGCCGGGCGGTAGACAAAGGTGGCGAACGTTGCCACTGGGGGGAGGGAGGGGAGTGGGTTGTGGGGAGAGAGGGGGGATACCCTCAAGGAACTAATCTGCCCCACAACAGTGAAGGAGCCCCTAATTAAAGGAGCCCTCAAGCATGAAAGGAGCCCTTAATTAAAGGAGCCCTCAATTAAAGGAGCCCTCACTACCCCCACTACAAATACCACAATCAGTTATCTAAAACCGTAAATAATGAAAATTAAACAATAGTAAACAGAAGTAGTACTCTGACCTGTACTTGTGATGGAGCAGCAAAGAAAGAGGGAATGATGGGATATGTATGGGTTTATATATCCTCTGTTTCATTCTGATTGGTTCTTTTCTTTAAGAGTTTTTTTTCTTTGCTGCTATGGAGCTAGTAAAGAAAGTTAATGCAAATATGAAGCCTCCTGTCATGTTATAAAATTACCCAAAACTAAACTAAAACACAAAGTACAATACATTGTGACAGACGAGGCACCAGTTATATATTCAGCAATATTTTGATTTGTTTCTCACTGCAGCACCAGATGTTGTTTTGCACCAGCTTCAGCAGCCAAATTCTCAGAAGTCATTCTGAAGGCCAACCTTACTCCCGATGTCCCCGACGAGATCAAAGCATTGATGGAGAAAGAGACCAGGTCAATATTCTTGAAAAAAGACGATGACTGGGAAAAGAGTTTGCGGGACAAAATTGAAGCTCTAGATCAACAAAGGCAATCGAGTTAGATTAAAGCTAACCCTTAATTAAGTGCTGAGCCTATTTCCTCTACTCTGCTGTGAATTTACATTTCCTGGTTGTGTTCCTTGTTTTAAAATATCAATTTCTTTGATTTTCCAAGCTAAACCTATGGATGTTGTTTGTTGTTTCGGTACATTAGAACATGTACAAAAATGTGTACTTTATAATACGACAAAAAATAATTGCCCAGAGTACAAAAAGAAAAGCATGTTTTCTTAAATCTATATTAAAGCACAATATATATATAACAATTTATTACGATTTTTTTCATCTTGTTGAAACCACCCCCACCCCCCCCCCAAAAAAAAAACCCCATCATAGTTCTACATTTATATTAAGGCCACCACTCATAAATACCAAGATCTAGGATTATACATAGACTTAAATATAAACATCAATTTAAAAAAAAAAAGCAAGCCTATTTAAAATTTGCTGCCAATAGGTTTGGATTAAAGATCCACAGGCCAGTTATGTCTCAACAAAGGCTTTTATTTTGCCCTAGAGTTGCCAGAGCCACTTTTCATTTATTAATGCTGACTGACAGCACATGAAAATTGCTGCCTCTTAGTATAATGTATTCAGCTGCAGCCGTATAAAAATCAAGTAATTATTCAACGCAGCAGATCCCTCCTTTGATCAAGATCTACTGCAGGGCAACACCTTATTTGTAACACCTAATAGAATGTAGATGTGCAATATGTTCAGGAATTCTTAAAAAATTTGGTAAACCAATGGACCCCCATGCCACAGATATTTTTTCAATATAAAGTTACACGGTTTCAATAGTATCAAACTATCCATAAAAGAGAAACGTTCTTCTTAATAATCATTTGTCAGAATCCTGTTTATTACGATGTATCTGAAGTTACAATATTGTAAATGAGGTTTTTGAATAAACGAGAAAACATCTCTTCCTTTCTCGTCCTAGCATTTAAATGGTTAACAGCAGCACTTCCCCTTTCCCAGTCCCATAATCAGTCTTCTTTTGCGATAAATGAGGATTTAAGATTGTGCACCTATTAATAGTTGCCTTATCACTGTTTTTAATCTGATGGGCAAGCTAGAAACACAGTCGGCAAGGTTGAATTATCACAAGTGATAGGCCTATTTGGAAACTGATCTTGAAATGAGACAAAGTCCACGACGACAGCTTGAAACGTACATTCTCTTGCTATATTTGGCCATAGCTGTCATCGCCCTCACCACCTGTCTGTTCAAGAAACCCAACTCGTGTTACTGCAGTTCAGCTGGGTTGTGTGAGCTGTAAGGTGTGAGTGTCCTTCCCACTGTAATGTTATGACTCTTTATTCATCTGTGCGATTAAATAAAAAAGTAGGAATTCTCTAATCAGTTTGCACAGGGGTCAAGTCCTGGGGAAAAAAGTGTGGGAACTCATCCAAGATCTCCCCCACCCCTAAAAAAACTAAATACACTCCTATGCATATAGTGCAGTGCAGGTTGTGTATAATGAATGTCGTGTGTTTGTAGTGAGTGCAGAGTGTGTATAGTGAATGTAGTGTGTTTGTAGTGAATGCAGAGTATGTACAATGAATGTAGTGTGTTTGTAGTAAGTGCAGAGTGTGTATTATAAATGCAGTGTGTGTGTAGTGAGCGCAGAGTGTGTATACTAAATGTAGTATGTTTGTAGTAAGTGGAAAGTGTGTTTAATGAATGTAGTGTGTTTGTAGTAAGTGCAGATTGTGTATAGTGTATGTAGTGTTTGTAGTGAGGGCAGAGTGTGTATAGTGAATGCAGTGTGTTTGTAGAAAGTGCAGATTGTGTATAGTATATGCAGTGTTTGTAGTAAGTGTGCTGGATAATGTGTGTGTGATGATGTGTGTGTGTGTGCTGGATGATGGGTGTGATGTGTGTGATGTGGGATGATGTGTGTGTGTGTGTTAGGTGGGGAAGCAATTTTTTTTTCCAATTTGTGTGTATATTTTTTATTTTATTCTCCCCTCCCTGCTTCTTACCTTGTCAGGGAGGGGGGAGATCGCATTCCCTGGTGGTCCGGTGGAGTGAGCCAGCCACTGCACACGGGGACCCAGAACACTTTCTGTTCCCTCTCCAGCTCTGTCTAACTCTCGCGAGACTCGCCTGCGTGCTGTGGTTACCATGGCAACGCTCTGGCGGCCGCGGGACTTGCGAATGTGAGAAACAGAGAGGGAACACAGAGTGTGCTGGGCCCCCATGTACAGGTAGCAGGGCAGGTCCTGCAGGACTACTAGCGGGAACGGTGTTCCTGCTTTGGAAAAAGTGCAGGAATGCCATTCCCATGCGTTCCTGCAGGACTCGAGCACTGAGTCTGCACCCTTGTTTCCTTACTTCAACCCGCACTCCTGGCTTTACCACAGGTGGTTTAAAGTTTGATTTAGTTAGATGTGTTGAATTGCTTAACACGTTTGAAATGAATTCAAGTTGAATGTTACTAATAATGGGCGAGAAGTTTATTAGGCCACCTTTATTCAACTTTTTTAAAAGCAGGTTATGGGGCAAGGATGTCCACTTTCATGGCCACTATACTCAAATTTCAGCTGATAAGAACAAATCAAATTCCTTTTGCCCCAAACAAATCAGTCTGTCCAGGATTTACCTATGGAGTCAATGACAGTTTTCATAAAAAAAACAGCCTCTGGTTATGTCAGATGTGAATTCACCCCTTAGAGTTTGAGAAGTATTTTGGAATGGAAGCACTAGATCACGTTAACAAGGTTAAAACAAACAATAAAAATATTCTTGTTTTGAAACCCCTTAAAAATTATACAGATATTGGGCATGCAAAAATCCAGCTGTTTAAAGTGCCCCTTTAAACTGGACTGATAATTTACAGATAGCTTGATTAACTTAGTTACAATGCATGTACTTTAACGCCTTCACGTCTCAAATCATGTATACACGATTGTCAGCGTATGCATCCAAACCCCACAATCGTTTATACAATATATTAACCATTGCAAATGAAATTTGTTTATTGCAAATGACAGTAACCCTCACACTCACTCAGTCACCCCTCATGCGCACAACACAGACTGGCCACAAGCAACACGACCACAACCAGCCCGGCCATACGCACAACACCCTGCAAGCAGCTCTCCCACACATATACGCTCCTAGACACAGAGCTACACAAGCTCACAGTTACAGATACAATAATGCATTCTGGGAACAATCACAGATACACATACACACAAATATACAGGATACTCACTGCCAGACACGCAGTCTCAGGCGCATATACTCTACACAATGGCACAAATGGACACATGTAACAAAACAAACCGCAAGACACAGTGTGATTGTGCTCATGATTGTGTGTCTCTGTGTATCATTGTGTTTTTCGAGTGTGTCATCTGTAACTTCATTATTTAGTACATGATTTTTTGAAAAGGTTTTCTGTCCAAGCAAAATTTTTTTATTTTTGTTTCCATTAAATAATGTGCTGTCTATGTACACTGAAATTAAAAATAAATGTAACTGTTACTTTACAGGACAACGAAAATTCTCATAATCCGGGGTTGGGTTTTGTTGCAAATCACTTGGTAGTGAAGGGTATTGCTATGTGTGTCTCCACTCCTATGTGTCTGCACTGACCTCTGGTGGCTTAAAGAAGAAATGGTAAAAAAAACTACATATTCCCAGAAGGTTTTATTGGGTAAACCAGAAATTGGGGGGAACTGATAAGGGCAGCGATATCTAAACAGAAAAAAACCCAACTTATCTATGCAATTCCCAAGTCAATTCTCTGCAATTCCACATTTCTAGGATGAACCACATGTTATACATGCAATTGTTTATGCAAAAGTCAAATAAATAATAAAACATTAGTGTCGCCTAAAACATAGAATTATGCAATTCTGAAACTTGAGCAATTCTAAGCCTTGTAAAAAGTAAGTCTAAAAATGTTAGCATTTCATACAGTGGGATTGATTCAATAGATTAATTACATGTCTCTTAGTCCACCCATTGTACGGCGCTACAGTATTTGCTGGCGCTATATAAAAATTAAAATAATATTAATAATAGACACTGAATTGTAGTGAGTTGAAAAGTGAATTGCAAAATCTAGTCCAAAAGAGTCAAGCTGTGATTAGATAAATTATACTGCCATAGGAATATTGAGGATAAGTTACTGCAGTAACCTACAAACATACAGCAAAAACACTTCTTCCCTACTGCTGTCACTCCAGCAGCCCAACCCTCTGTTGCTTCATCAAAGGATAGATTATCGCGCAATGCAACAGGAAAATATTGAGAGAAGCGTTAATTGGATGCAAACGTGCAGAGTGCTACATTTATTGAAGGACATAAACAGCCAAAGAGGTTCCCGATTACAAAGGAGGACTCTCGTATGTTTTTTCATTTCGTGAGAGTCGGCATGATGGGATGAGGCTCAATCTATTTGTCAGCATTTATATGGAGAGTGTATGGGTTTGCATTCAGGGCATGATGCATTGAGAAAGGGGAGAACCCAAAACGTGTGTCTGTTTATGTTCTACAATAAATATATGTAGCACTTTTGCATCCAAGTAACGCGGCTGTCATTTTTCTGATTGACTAGATACATTATGCAATTCAGTTCCCTACACATCTGTATTTAACGAATAACCCCCAAAATGATAGGAATTCTGACAATTATTAAACACTGTGGTGATTGTAACAGATCATGAATGTGGAGGTGCATGAACATGAAGAGATATCACAATGTTCCTTCTGATTCCTTGGGTGGCAGTGTGAGGGTTAATAAAAGAGTTCCGTTCACCGACTATTTTAAAAAAAATTATTAAACATTACAAATTACTTTTTTTTCAGACAAGTGGCAGTTCCTCATTCCTTGACCGCTGTAAATACTAGTTCAGTGTTTACTGGGTAGAATAATGCAGCTGAGGTATGTAAAAATGTACCTACCTCTAGTGTACCGAGGCATCTAATGGAGATATCCCTTATGAGCATACAGGCACTCGCCATTTTCTCAAGCGATAACATACGCAGTTATTCTCTATGTTTACACCGCTGCAAGAGTTCTTTAATTTACATTCTCTGCTTGGCGTTGCTCTGCAATACTTGTCAATTAAAGAAAATAGTAATCTATTAAGAATTTTTGAAAAAAACCAAGCACAGCTAGTAGCTATCTTTAAGTTTGCTAAATCTGGGGAAATGGCAATGCTTCTATTATTTTAGGAAACATGAAGTTTGATGGACAGCCTTGGTTTACTTGTATATATACAATATTTTCATTAAAGGTCTGCCCCAAGGTAGACCTGACTCCAATTTGTTTCTGGGATGTAAGTCATTCGGGACTTAGCAGCAACTCTATTCACCTGATACCATGAATAGAATTGATGTCTTCGCCAGGGGTAGACAACCTTCCACAAGGTTGTGCTCAGTGGCGTACACATGACCCATGGGGCCCCGGTGCGAAAATTGATCCGTGGGCCCCCCCCTCCCCCCGCGCGCGCGGGCCGGGCCGCAACACATGGCGGTGGGCACCTGGTCGCAGGGGTTACAGGGCTGCGACCGCCGTATGTACGCCAGTGCATGCAGATGCACACACACTTAAAGGACCACTCTAGGCACCCAGGCCACTTCAGCTTAATGAAGTGGTCTGGGTGCCAGGTCCAGCTAGGGTTAACCCATTTTTTCATAAACATAGCAGTTTCAGAGAAACTGCTGTGTTTATCAATGGGTTAAACCTTCCCCTATTTCCTCTAGTGGCTGTCCCATTGACAGCCGCTAGAGGCGCTTGCGTGCTTCTCATTGTGATTTTCACAGTGAGAGCACGCCAGCGTCCATAGGAAAGCATTATGAATGCTTTCCTATGTGACCGGCTGAATGCGCGCGCAGCTCTTGCCGCGTGCGCATACAGCCGACGGGGAGGAGAAGAGGAGGATCGGAGGAGGAGAGCTCTCCGCCAGCGCTGGAAAAAGGTAAGTTTTACCCCTTTCCAGAGCCGGGCGGGAGGGGGTCCTGAGGGTGGGGGCACCCTCAGGGCACTATAGTGCCAGGAAAACGAGTATGTTTTCCTGGCACTATAGTGGTCCTTTAAAGGACCACTACAGACACCCAGATCACATCAGCTCAATGAAGTTGTCTGGGTGTCAGGTCCCTCTAGTTTTAACCCTGCAGCTGAAAACATAGCAGTTTCAGAGAAACTGCTATGTTTCACTGAGGGTTAATCCAGCCTCTAGTGGCTGTCTCACTGACAGCCGCTAGAGGAGCACACTGAACGTCCATAGGAAAGCATTGAGTAATGCTTTCCTATGGGCGGTTTGAATGCGTGCGCGGTCGCATTCGGAGCTGAGAGGCTGAGGGATCCTCAGCGCCAAGGGAGTCCGGCGCTGGAGAAAGGTAAGTGCTGAAGACACACACACACACACACACACTTACAGACGCATACACACTAGCTAACAGACACACGCATTTAGTGACAAAGACACAGTCAGCGACAGACATACATACATACACACTCACTTACAAAACATACACTCTCATTGACAAACACACACTCAGTAAGACACACACAGTAACACTCACTGACACTCACTAGCAGACACACTAACACACACTCTCACTCTAACACTCTCACACACTAACACTCACTCTAACACTCTCACACACTAACACTCACTCTAACACTCACACACTCTAACACTCTCACACACTAACACTCACTCTAACACTCACACACTCTAACACTCACACACACTAACACTCACTCTAACACTCACTCTAACACTCACACTAACACTCACTCTAACACTCACACTAACACTAACACTAACACTCACTCTAACACTCACACTAACACTCACACATGATTTTTTTTTTTTTTTTTTTTAATTTAATCCCCAGCCTCCCTTACCTTTTGGAGTGCTGGGGGATTCCCTGGGGTCCAGTGGGCTGCTGGGCCTCTGGGCGGTGGCGGGCAGGAGGCGGGCGCGCGAGGGAGCACTCAGTGCTTTCAGCTCCCTCGCCGCCGCGTAGGGATGCCGGAGCCGGAAGATGACGTCATCTTCCGGCTCCGGTATCATTGCGGTGCGCGAGGGAGCTGAAGAGGAAGCACTCAGGCCGGCTCCTGGGCCCCCCCAGGGGAAGAGGCTGGCCCTGGGCGTACATACCGGGTCGCAGGGGCGGCCGGGCCCCCTGGTGGGCCGGGCCCGGTCGCAGCCGCGACCCCTGCGACCCTGGTATGTACGCCACTGGTTGTGCTGAAGGAATGCCGAAGGTTGCCTACCCCTGGTCGTCGTCGGATTAAGAGCCAGTTGGGCCTGGTGCTGACAATTTTGATGATCCAAATTATAGAAACTTATCAATAGAAAACACTAAAACAGTCCTACCTCCCAAGCGTCATGTATCTGGCGGAGGTGGTTCTGGAGAGAAACTCACAGGATACAGCTATGAGAAAACACATACCCTGTGCTTATTTCTCGTTTTAATCTCTCAAGTAAATCCATACCCCCTAACAGCAGTGAAGCAGGATTTCGGTAGGCGAGATGATGTAAATCATGTAACCAGAACTGTCCAAAGGGACACACATTCCCAAAAAGAGGGCGTCTGCCCAAAGAATTAGATGATCAGCCTGGCATGAATGTACATTAGGCTAGTCATGTATGTGTGTGGATAATTATGTAAGTGTGTGATTAAATATGCATTTATTTGTAAACTTTGCTAAATAGATTTTAATATTAAAAAAAGAGATAGATGAGGTTTGAGTGCAAGCAAATAAAAGGAGACATTCAAATATTCACAGTGTAGTATATGTGTTTACTCTGGGGGCACTCTGATCTCCTACGACAAATGTAATAAATCTGAGCTACCTATAGGGGCTGCAGTCCTCTGTAGGATATTACCTCAAATCTACTAGATGCACAAAATATGTAAAGAAAAAAAGACTAATATTAGTGTGGTACTCTTAAAGGACCAATTGTTATTGTATAAGCACAATTAAACTGTCCTGTTATAAACAAATGATCCCGTGTCTAAAGTTTTAATAGAAAATGCACAAAACCCATATTTAGTTATAGGCCATGAGTTCTTTAAATAAAGTCATTTAGACGAAAAATTACGGTAACTTGAATAGTCCCATAGAGGTGAGCTAAAACAAAAATAAACACTCAATGGTGGAGGAGAGATAGAAAACCGATGATAGCGTAGTATAGTTTAAAACTTTGAAAAATGTATTACAAAATAAATAATAAAATAATATTAACAAAATTTCAAATGGACTCTCACATTCAAGTAAGAGCTTCAAGTAAGAGCCCTTATCAAGAAGGGCTGCATGC